CCCCCCCCCCCCCCCCCCCCCCCCCCCCCCCCCCTTCACCTCCTTCTTGAGGGTCACCAGCCACAGTCCATGGGGCCCCCGCCCCTCTCACCTCCTCCATGCCCTCTCCCATGTCTGTGTTCCGAAGCTGTATGCTGTGGTTCTACAAACGGAAGGGTAAGGTGAAAAATAACCGTGCACGTCTTCATGGTCCGCATGCATGCCGGTCCCGGGCATGAAAACGGATCGAGAGGAGGCGTTTGTTTGTTTGCCTTCTGGGATGTGCGGTTTGGGTGGAGCAGTAGCGTTGTGTAGCTCTCGGTGTGTTGGTTTGTTGTCGAGGTTCGAGGACAGTTCAGAGCGGTGTGAATTAGGTGTGTTTAGTGGCCGTCGGCTGTGAGGAAATTATTAAGCAGAGAGCAGTGTGTGCAATGTGTCCTCAATCAGTCAAACATTCACTGGTGTTGCTGGTTTGGCTAAACAATAATGTAACATGATGTGTTTTTCCTGTCAAGATAGTAAAAATTGTATGCACAGTTTGTCAGTGAATGATAGCTTACATGTCGCTGTCTTAACTTCTTCTGGAACTGTCTGTGCCACGCTTGATCTGAGTCTTTGGCATTAGCTGTACTACCTCAGTGAGTTAAAGGTGCATTGGTTTGATTTTTCAATTTTGTGTGTTCAGTTGCTGGTGGATGTTCTCTGAATTACCTGAGAGACTTCTACATCAAAGAATAGGCGAAAACAGCATGCAATGTATGCATATTATATTCCAAATTTAAGAGCATTATTCAAAAACCTTAATTAATGCAGTCAAAGAGGCCAATTGGCAGGCAGTATAGCTTGCATGAAAAGGCAACAAAGACAATATAACGTGTAAAAAATGTCATGATGCAATACTACAAGATATTGGGGTTAAAGATCACATTACGATTCACTTAAATCAGCAGTGTGGGAATAAGTTGTGTTTGGAAGCAGCAGATCCTTCCACAGGAAGCACATTTTGATCCCAACCTAGCAATGAAATGTCACTGAGAGACACATCTGCTCTCCAGACACCACAGGGAGCACGGTAGCATCTCGCGTATCCCCGGATAGAAAATTCGCACGAAACATGTTCTGAGCATGAGACTCTGGATACATCAGCTGTTAGCTCGGGTATCAGGAGATGCACAGGATGTTGGGCAGGAGGAGATTTCTCTGTTGCTGTAAAACAATCCTGCTCTACGCATGTTATGCAGTCAGCCTCCCAGGGCAGCAGTGTCTGACATGTGTCTGTCTATATATGGCCTGGGTATGGTATAGGCTGATGGACGGTAGGGCCTCACTGCTTAGAATAAGAGAGGCAAAGAAAGGCGCTACTGACTGATTATTGTGGTGTAAAACAATTCGCCGTGATGCTTCCTCTTACGGGACAGTCACGCTCACAGGTTGAACTGTAGTTGAGAGGCGGCCGGCCGCTGTGCTGGCCCGGAATTCGGCTCTGTGCTGTCTTTCTATTTCGAGAAGCATCCATTATTCATCGGCCCATCTCCCCCGGCGGTGCATCAGAGTTGCCTCAGAGCCCTTAAGCTTTTTCCTTTTCCTCTTTCGCCCTCTCTACTCTCGCTCGCTCCTCACATCTACAGTAGCCATCAATCTCCTCCCTCTTTGTCAGGCCGGCCCGGACGTTCGGTCCAGGATGAGAGACCCCCTCCTGCTCTCTCTCTCCCGTCTCCAGGGTCCTCCCTCACCTCAGTATCATCTGCACTGGCAACTGTTTTATTTTTATTTTTCCACCTTGGTCATCATTTTGTTTTCACCTGTGTTCTTCAGCACTGCGTCTGTACTTGTATATGTAGTTAGAAATATATTCCCCAATTGTGGATCATGCATCGCTCAATCGAATAGCAATACGATGAGTTCGTTTTACATTTTTGTCACACAGTTGGAGATAAATTGTAACAAAGTGCGTTTACTTTACTGACCTCAGAAACCGTGCGTTCTCTTGGCACCACGTTTGGGGTAGCTACCACTGTATTGACATGTTGAGGTCCTGTGCATCATACCGCATACTCCCTCTGGAGCATGTACTGACAAATTTCATCAGCTGGTCTGACGATGGCAGGAGGAGAGAGGAGGGATGAATAATTCAAAGAGGCCTTTTGGAGAAAGGAGGAGCAGCATTATGGGGAGAGGCTGGCTGAGCATTGTAAAAAGGGAAATCTTTGTGATTGGAGACCCTCACCACTGAGATGGGAGATAAATCCTCGATGCTCTTAGTTTTTATGAATATATCTATCTATCTATCTATCTATCTATCTATCTATCTATCTATCTATCTATCACATGCAGTAATTGTACTACCACATTAATTGTAAACAGCAGTGTCCATCTTTGCCTGCAGTCTCGGTGACTGTAACTACCAGTAGCTTCATTGATGTACATTTAATTGCCCAAACTCGATCTTTCTAATACAGTCTGCAACATGCAAGTTAGAAGCAGAAGAGTATCTGGAGGCACACAGAATCAGTGGAGCAGAAGATGGTTGTCTAGTTCATAACCTGCCAAAGAAACCGTTACAGAAGAATTAAGGATGGAGCTTTTCAGGCTGGTCCATGGCAGTATAAAATGATACCTGACATTACTTGACATAAGCCGATGCCAGCAGTATGCCAATATATTGGTGTATATATAATAACACCGTTTTCTTTTCTTGGTTCAAGTGCGTTCTGACTGCCGTTGTTTCCATCCAGGTCTTTACTTTAGTTTCCGTGATAAAAGCAAACATGGCAAAGAAAACCTTAAAACGTGAAATGAGTATGAACATCGAGTAAACAGAGATTCTGGTACATGATATCACCGATGGGTAGAAGTTGGCCACTTCCCCCTGACTAGCAAACACACAACTGTTCAGCGTCTGCCGGCTGCATTCGCCATCACCAGTGAAAGATGCACTGAAAAGCAAGAGAGCTGTTGGGCCTTTAACTGCGTGAATAGTTTGAGGAATGATTCAGGCATAACTCTTGCCGTGCCGACGAGTAAAGAGTGTAAAGTAGGTCATATTTTTAAGGTATCGTCACCTTTCAAATATTCTCTGTATGATGGTTTAGTTTACTCCCACATTGTCAGACTGATAACTTTAAATTCTGATGGCTTTCACTTTGAAAAAATGCTTTTTTTAAAGATATTAGTTGTTTTTTCCTCCTGACATCACAGCTCTATTCATCGTATCATCCATAGCGTGGTTGTTTTGCCATTTAGTCATAGTGAGAGAGGTTGCATCATGTGATCAAATAACATCAACGCATACTCTTTATCGGATATATATTAGTCAGGATATGAGGTGACCTTTCCGGTCTATGTGGACATCAGGGTACTGAACCACAGCCTGAATGAGGTCTGCTGCTCTGTATTGGCTGTATGTGGGAACTCCGTTTCATTTGCCATCTGTATTCTAGTATCTACTCTCAACTCTCTTTGTATGTCTGTATCTATCATGGGTGTTGACCCAATACCTGCCAGGGTCTGTCTGTAATTAGGAAGGTGTGCGTGGATCGATTGGAGGTTATTGGCGTGAGGTACAGTACTTCCTGTATGTGCTTCTTCTTCTAATAGTCTTGCTGTGTCTCTCTGCTTCACAGCATCACAGCCTCCTGTAATATGCTTTAGTCAGTACACCTTCGTCTGTTATGACACAACTTTGCAGCTGGGCTTTGAGACTGTGTTATATTCTTACAGGGTTGAAACGGCATCATAAAAGTCAGTGTGTGTTAATATTGTCAGGTTTTTGCAATCATAGGGAGTAAAAAATGTGAACTTAGCACCACTTAGACTTTGGCCCTTTTTTTCCACTATGGAATTGGCTGTAAAACAGCATGTAACAAGTCCTTTACACCCTTATCACTGTAGACTTAAAGGTAGTTTCACTGGGAACTATGAAACCTTGAAAATATCTTAAAATGTCTTATCTCCTGATAGGGGAAATGAATGAATGACACATTCTTTATCTTTAACCCTTATCTAAACATTGTCCATTCTTTCTGGGTCTATTTTCTATGATTACAAGGTTTAGCACCACTTACTTCTGAGTAACACTGACCAGGCAGCAGGATAACTTTCTGCTCCGATCGTTGTACATTTAACCTGAACTTATCGTGTCCATTCCTGCTACTGTGGCTTGTCCTGGGTCCGTTTGTCGGTAAGACTTATCAAGATATGTTAAGGACAAACAACTTGCTGTTTATTTAGTTTTCGTGACTCTGCAGAATAACAAAGGTGGTTCATATCAGATGACGGTGACTGTCATGACTTGCAGTATGTCGCCTCATGTGACTGGCCCGCTGGCTGACACGCTACAGATTCGCTGAGTTGACTAACTGCTCAAACCTACCTGAGAATCATGTTGTACGTGTGAGCTGCAAACTAGGACGAAGATCGGACTTGAGACACAGTTCATACAGTTAAAGTATTCTTTTTGTGGTTTAAAGGCCCGGCTGCTACCTCTCCTCTGTCATGAACAGAGCTAAACAACATTAGCCGCAGTAATCTGTTCGTCTGTAGAGTCTGTTTGGCTGAGGGAAAAGTGAGAGGCCGGAGAGGTGCTGTCTGAGTGGATTGGCCTGAGCCTCCGCTGCCTTTTAATGTCTTTAAAAGCTTTTTTGCTGTAGCCAAAGCCAGCCTTTCATCTGCTGTACTGTCTTGTTTCCAGCTCAATAAAAAAAAAAATACTTTTACACCAGATATAGTTTGCCAGCTAATTCCATGAAATATAAGTCATATAGTTTTTTGACTGTGCTGCATCATCCACATGCACAAAACAAAAAGGTAAGCCTACTTTCCATGCAAAAAAAATCTTGAATAATTTAAAATGCAGGCTGTGAATACATACAACATGCATACCTGCTACAACCTGACTGGATGGATGAAATCCTGGCCATGTGTGTTGGTAGAGGACAAAATACTGTATCTCCTGATACCATTGGCACCAGGAAGTGGGTGTGGGTGTGTGCGTGTGTTTTGCACGCGTCAGGCCCAGTATTGAGTCACTGTTTAATGTCACTGGCAGTCTGTTTGTTCTCCGTATTTGCTCTGTGGGTGCAGCCTGGCCCGGCTCCATTGCACACTCCGACCCCGAAGGCTCTCTGTGGAGAAATAAAACACAGCGCTGCCTCACCACTCTGGAGGAGCTTTTCCTCATTTTACAGTGATCACAGGAGTATTGATACTTTAGGTGTTGATACACCCATCGACGTCATTATTTTATAGCGCGTTAACGCATTTTTTTATTTTGAAAGTCCGTGGAGGAAGTCTTCAGCAGACTAGGTTGATGCAGCGTGTGGGATAAATTTAGATAAACAAAAGCAAGACAAGCGGCATTACAACGTGCACCAGATGTTGCTCTGCCTGGAGACTACTGGACATCACTGCGGTAAAGTCAGCAGACACTTACATTTTAGTGCACCTATATGCTGAAACAGGTTAAGCAGAATCAAGGTATTTTTTTTTTTTTTTTATAAAAGAAACAAACCTATCATCTCTAGATGAATACACAGCGTCCGTCACTGCGTCACTGGTACTCATTTCAGTGTTGTCTTGGTTTCATTAGTGTGTGTAATGGCTGTATGGAAAATGTGGCTCACTGGGTTTGTCTGTGTGCTCATGTCCTCAGCCCGAGATGCGGATGAGCGGGAGAAGTGGATCCACGCCTTAGAGGGAACTATCCTCCGTCACACCCTGCAGCTCCGAGTACGTAACCATGCACTTGTTTGTCTGTGTGTGTGTGTATGTATGTATGTATGTATATGTATGTATGTATGTATGTATGTATGTATGTATGTCTGTATGTATGTATGTGTGTATATATATATCTATCTATCTAGATATCTAGATATCCAGAGATATCTAGAGATAGAGAGATATCTAGAGATAGATAGATAGATAGATAGATATAGATGTCGATGTCGATGTCGATATAGATAGATATAGATATCGATATCGATAGATGTCGATAGATGTATGTGTATATATATGTGTGTGTGTATGTGTATATGTCTGTGTATATATATGCATGTGTATATATATATGTCTGTGTGTGTGACTTTCTATTTGTCTGTGTCTGTAATCCTTCCACTACAGTTACAAAAAGTTGCTGTTTGCCTGTTTATGCAAATTCCTGACAGCATCTATTTAGTTTTAAATTTACACTACATTTATTTTACATTTCATATTACTATCCATTTGCAAACATGGCTTTGTAACACCTGAAGAGTATACTTGTGTAATTATTCAAAAACGGAGGATTGTTGAGCAGATTTTGCAAAAGATAGGTAAAGATAAATATGTTACCTGGATATCAAAGCGTTCACTGTTTTGATTTTTATTGTATCTCAGATTGCATGTATTTGCATGCTGTATAAATCATATGCTGCACTGCAACACCCATATAACGACTTTGAAAGGGACTTTGCATCTCAGGTCTCGTTATCTGCGCTTTTTTTCTCGCTCACACCCGTTTGCTTTCCTCAACAGAGCAGTTGAGAGTCGGTGATGTGTCTCGCCTGTATACATGGAAATAATGGTGACATTCATGTCATCATAAATGGAGGATGTTTTGTCAATAAGTAGCTGCTTTTGACTGGCATCGGTACCAGGCTTCGTTTTGACTGTTTTTTTTGATTTACTGCTGACCTGCTGGCAGCCTGTTTTGTCTCTTTATTATGAGTGTTGAGACGAAGTGTGTCTCAGCCGTCCAGTTGTTTCCAACCTCATTTCCTGCTCTCCTTCCCTAAACCAAACCTTACTCCTTGTTCCCTTCCCATCCTCACCTACGTGCAGCTCTTTCCATCCCTCATGACCAACCTTTTCATTTGCTCTCCCTCCCTCCCTCCTTCCTCTTTTTTTTCTTCTTCTTCCTTCCCTCCCTCTGTGGCAAACCCTCTGATGTGCTACGTGTGCCTGCTTGTGCTCGCTGCACACACACACACGCGCACACACACTCTCTCCATGCAGTGATAGCGTGCTGCTGTCGTAGCATCATGTGACCCTGCAGTAACCAATACAAGACCTGCTTGCTTGATCAACCAAACATCTGCCTCTGTGGCCTCAGCCAACCAGAGAGCCGCTTAATGCTTGTCCCTGTCAGCACTTGCTGCTGCTTTGTGTGTTTTCTCTTTTGCCTGCGTGAGAGGAAGCGTGCCTTTCCTGCCAGAGGAGGGTCCTGGATTAACTCGGCTCTGCCTGCCTTCATACCAAAACGCTCAGCTGATAACTGTTGCCGAAGGATCTGCTGTAGCCAGGCTGACTGGAAAGCTAACTGCTGCTGTGGTTTATGTTGGCAGACTGCAGTGGAGAGCGAGAGGAGGAGGTTGTTTTCTGTTTTCTGTGTGGAGGAGGAGGAGGGAAAGAAGGCTAACTTCACCAGAGCTGCTGGTTTGTTGCTGTAGGCAGAGAAGACCAGAATAACGGAGGAAGAGAAAGGGAAAAAAAAAAAGCAAGCTTGTGTCAGGCTAAATAGCCTGATAGGGGGAGATGTACCAGGTTTAACGCAGCATGTCAATTGGAACGAGGCACCCTGTAAGTACAACACACACACAGACACAAGGGCCACTGCACCAGAGCAGGGATAACTTTATCGGCTGCAGTGCGCTGCCAGGGCAGCAGCGTTTTAAAGTGGGTCACACTGCAAACGAGGGGGAGGAAGGGTGAAAGGGTGTTGTTTGTTGAGTCTGGGGTGGAAGAGTGGGTTTGTGACTCTGTGTGCGAGTGTGTGTGAGACCTCACAAGCTGCTGTAAATAGCGGACGTGCGGATGTCTGTGCAGCAGCAGTGAAGACGTGAGCACTATGAGGTGGTGAGACACAACCACCTGCCTCTGAGTTTCTGCAGCCAAACTTATCTGCTCTGTCTATAAAAAGAAAAAAATAGAAACCTTCCCCTTATTTGTGTGTGTTGACAAAACTTGAGACTTCGTTCACTGCGATGATAGGGGCTCCGTCTTATTATTTGTTTGTTTTCACCACTTCAGTTTCATTTCCAATGGCCTGTTGTAATGTATGATAACACCTTTATGAGTAAATGCAGTCTAATATTCAAGCCCTATGGTAAATACTACCTGTGTGAGACGCATTAGGATCTATGTGTTACAGTTGTGTTTGTGGTGTTTTGTAAATACTATTGTGTTGGAGTTAATCCCTACTGTAAACAGAGGAGGAATGGCTAAACGAATTTACTGTGAGATTAGAAGATCCTCAAAGGTAGTCCATTCCCTGTATTTACATAATAACCTGTAGATGTGTTGGCATTGATCTGGATCTGGTGTTTTGTTGGCAGCTTAAAAGTAAAAACGATCATGATGCAATGGCAGCTCCTTTCCTCATTAACTGGAGGTATTTGCTGGTGTAGTGCGACTAAGCAGACAGGAATTTTCTCACACTGGAATGTGCACATCCGACCACCTGTGTACACACATTGATGAAGTATACAGTCACTCACATCTGTATCAGAGTTGTTGTTGATTTTCACTCAGGACCTCATGTGGACAGCTTTGTTTTGCAGTCAGGCAAACAGTGCGAGCGCCTTTGATCCTTTGAGGAAGTTAGGTGAGGGCTCAACTGCTGAGCTAAGACTTTACTCGCTATAAAGATAGTATGTTTTTACAGTTAAAACTTCAGCACGGCCTCAGGCTGCTGCTGACAGCGTTTGGTTGTTAATGGCTTTTCTTCACTTTCCTGTGAGCTCGTCTTTAGCAGGAAGAAAAGCCGCCACACGAACCGGGACTGTGCGACGCAGCAGACCCAAAGCGGCGGTAGCACCCAACATGGTTTGATAAGAGCCTGATTTACTAACAGCACTCCTGTTTGATTCTAACAGTCATCGGCGTTACTATTACTCTCTCTCTGCTTGTTCGTGCAACTTGTCAGAGTAGCTGCTGTTAGTTATCTTACTGATCCGTCTGGCTTGGCATAAAGGTGTTATTGTGTTGTCATAGGTGCTGAGTGTGCTTGTTAGTGACAGGCTCCAGCATTAGATATGGGGTGATTTTATTCAATATTTTTGAAGGACGTCTTTGTACGTCTGTGCATAAATTGATCTGCTCATCTTCCTGTTTTTGTGCCACAGCCTGCTGGGTTGTTGTTGCTCGGGCAAGCTCAGACAGATTCACGTCTGTTCTGCCAACAGTCTAGTAATTACCTTTTAATGGATATTATGTAAGGAAACTGTCTGTGCCTGATTTTCTGTGTATGTGTGTGGGGGGTTTCTGATGGAGCCATTAAAGCACGCTAATTAGCAAACAATGAATTTGAGTGCACCTCAACCCATTTACACACATGATTCTGTGTCGGTAATTAAATTATCTCCAGTCTCGAGGTCCTCGCTTCAGTTTTGTTGAAGCCTGAAATTCGCTCACCGTCAGACAGACAGGCAGGCAGACAGACAGGCAGGCAGGCAGACAGACAGGCCTGCTGGCCTTTTATACTGGCTACCCTTTAAACAATAGTATTCATATCTCCCCTGGTACAGTACGGTGCTGGAAGATTCCCCTGAACTGTTGATGTTTCTGTCCATTTCGTGTGGCAGTTTTCAAAGCCGACAGACCGGGAGCTGACAGAGACATGTGAATGGATAATAAGTGAATACGTGGCTTGTATTATTATTGGTAGCGCCTGCGTATTTTACTTTGAATATGCAAATACTAGCATGGCTTTTTTTTTTACATTTGGTTAGGCCTGCACTAATGCTTTGCTGTGTTTGTTTCTCCATCCTCAGGAGGCAGAGACGGGATTAGTTCCGAGTGTTCAAGATTTCGATAAGAAGCTATCTGAAGCCGACGCCTACCTACAGATTCTGATCGACCAGTTAAAGGTAGAACTCAATGGAGCAACACCAAATGTTTGACACGTTCATGTCGATTTTAGAGATGTCGGATATCTGCCACTCACTTTCACATGTTTGGCTTAACACCTAGAGGTAATGTAGTCCATTTGAGAAAGAAAAATCCACATGGATCAAGGGATTATTATCATACGTTGTTTACCTTGGAATCTGTGTCATGACCTTCCTCTTCTTCTCTTCTTGAGAGCATTTCCTTGCTGATCCCACGCTTGACTTTAACAAAGCAGAAGTGATTAAAGATTTGTGGTAGCATGAAGCTGAAAATCATGTATTTAAAGAAGCAGCAGCATATTCTCAAAGGCAGAACATCTGCACGTGTCCTTCATTGGTGAGAGGAGCCTGCTTTCATCTCAAGCAGCAGCATGTGTACAGAATCGCCTTCTTATCATTTTAATTCTCATTTGACTGTGTACCCATCTTAACTTATTATCCATCTTCCTTTTCTCCCCTTTTCATCTCTTGTCCGCTGTTGCTCTCACGCAGCTGTTTGATGACAAGATCAAGGACTGCAAAGAGGATGAATCCCGCAGAGTGAGTACCAGCAGAGCGGCTCTGTCTCCTCGTGTGTCGGCTCTCTGGTTCTCGCCGTCATTAGAGCCGAGGCTAACAGCGGGGGCAGCAGGCTGACACGCGGCGCCGATGGCTGTCTGTGTCATGCAGAGCAGACGTTTGATATCAGCCGCTTGTCACTGTTAAGCCGTCAGAATATTTAACAGCTTATTGCATCGGTTCAGAAGTGACCGTCAAGTTATGAGATGGTGATTTTAACAATTTGCCTTTTTATTTGAAAAGCCAACTGAAGGATTAAAAAGCTAATGAATAATGATCATTTTTGATTAACCGTTTAGTCCATAATATTCCCATTATAATTCCCCCGAGCTTTAATAGGATTTCTTTCGATGTCTCGTTTGTCTGATCAACTGTCTAAAATATTTATCAAATGATCAAAGCAGCATTTTAAAAAGTTGCAGAAAAATTGCATTATTTATAGATTTTAAAAATAGTCACTGGTTAATTTTATGTCTATTGATTAATCGACTAATAGTTGCAACACATTGACGCAGTAAGAGTAGCACTGAAGCTTAATGTGGCACATTTGTGGCACCAAAATGTAATAATTACAGATCATAATTGGTTTAGTGTTAACAATACAGTTCCTTTTCTTTTTGTCTGGCTTTTTAAGACCATTCAGTCCACAAAATACATTTTCTATGTAACTTTAAATGTTAGTTTAAAGCAAGTTATCCTTGTTGTTGGAGGAAGCAGTTCAGAGTTTCAGGGTGTTTGTGGGTTCGTTTGTGTTTTTCCAGCAGCTGTGTGATTCACTTCCTCCCTGAGATTAAGGGTAGCTTTTGGTCACCTGGACTTGTTTGTCACTGTGACTTCACTAGTCTCCTCAGTATGGGGAATTGTTTTGTAGATTTTCCTTGATGTTATCTTCCAGTTTTGCTTTATTTGCCGTCGAACTGGTTGCGTATGCTTTTAAAACTTTTGTGTTTTTAATTACTGTTGGATTTTACAGCCTGTTTCTTTTTTTTTTTTTTTACAGAAAATAGACCTTTTGAAGGAGACCACTTGTGTAAGTCAGACCTTAACACATTTCCCTTCCTGTTTTTTGAGTTTACGAGTCGGTTCCTAGTTCTTGAATTCCTTTTCTGTCTCTTTTCTTTCAGAGCATGGTAGAGTCCATCAAGCACTGTATTGTACTGCTGCAAATCGCCAAGGTAAACGCATTATCAGCCCGTGTGATTCTTCTCTCTGTAGTTTGGTTTGCTCCTTCACCATAGCCATTGTTCTTGTGAGACCACACCAGTGTGCACTTGTGTGTTACCTTTCGTGTGTGTCTCTGGGGGTAGTTCCTGGCTCACAGTTGCCATGTGGGTCGCTGGTTGATTTGGGTGTAGCCCGGTACTCGTTTCATCACATGTTCCATTCAGCCCTTCCTCCCCAGGAAGTGAAGCAATCACCTCTGCTTCATGGGGTTGTTAGTTGACACTTGTTAAAAAACAAGGTTCTAGGAAACATGTAGATTACAGATTGGCACGGTAGAGCAATCCCGTTGCTGACGCTGAAAGAAATGATGGAGGATTTTACCATGTGATGAAAGGATTACTGCAAGTCGGTGAATATTCTGAAGCTCCGTGTGATGAGAGCGACTGATCTCACCGCTCTCCACACTGCAGATGTTCAGGATGCTTTGTGAAATGACTCAAACTTCATACACAAGTAGTCTAACATTGTCTTCTCAAAATTTTAAGGACCAAAGTAACGAACAGCAACACGCAAACGGACTTATAGTAAGTTTGACATTCTCCGCCCATGACAAAAAAATTTAAATCTAGCAAACTGTTAATTTTTTCTTTTCTTGCTTAATTTACTCTCAACTGTAGAAACTCAGATGAATCAGATCTCTTTAGTGCATGCCGTCTAATTTGGGGATAAGCTCGATCTCTAGCTCTTTCCCTCATGTCTTCCACAACTATCCTGTTGATTTAGTTGATGATTTCCTGATTTCATCTCAGATTAAAGTTCTTTTAGCATCGGTGGGGAACTATTCTTTTCTTTTTAGTGTGTGTGTGTGTGTGTGTGTGTGTGTGTGTGTGTGTGTGTGGCAGAATATGTATGTGTAAGTAGACTATACATGTGTGTCTGCATGCCTGTATGTGAGGGAATGTTGCATTTCGCCCGACCCACTAATTTAGCCGACTAATTCCGCATTGATTCACCGTGTACACTGCCTGCTTATTGAACCATCCAGAGAGCACTTTACTGGCTCTGCAGATGTCTTCATGTCAGTCGCCATACCCGGAGGTTTGCATGTTTTTTTTTTGTTGTTTTTTTTTACGACAAATCACATGTACTTTGAATTGCTGACTATTATTTTCCATTTTATATATAAGTTTTCAGATTATTTTCTGTTCTTACGGGGAGCGATTAGTTTCCAGTCTTATTAGGATGTTGTGAAGAATTACAACATACATTTGATTTATAATCCATCGCAGTAAACGTATGGTTTTTCTTTATTTTAAATAACACTCTGACCCCTGTGATTTGAGAGCGGGCTGTCAAACAATACACTTTTAAATTAGGTAACAACAAAACATACATTATCCTCTTGACTTTTCACTTGCGGGGTTTGATTTCCAGGCAGCACAGCTCGGGAATGCAGTGCTTTCAGCCACCAATTACATTTTTTCCAAACAGTACTAGCTCTCATCTATAAAATGAAAGAAAAGTGAGGACTTAAGGGCAAATGAATCATGTACCGACAGCTTAGACCACCCTACAATGAACAAAACCCAGTGGGTACCTACAAGGGGAAAACAAATCTATATAAAAACTTTCATTATGCTTTCGGAAATGGAAGGTAATGTAATGTGAAACCTTTAAAAAGGTAATGGACTAACACAAGGAATAATTTCGGTGTGGTCCTCAGAGCAAGAATCACAGAGGGGCCGGTACAGCTCATAGGCCTGCGCGCTGCTCTTATAGCTGACTTAATCTGTCATTAAGTAAAGTATTAGATCGTATAAATAGCACGTCATAAACTCTGTCTATACATCCAACTGCACGTTTCTTTTATATGCCATAAGCTTCGTACTAAAGATATCTTTGCCGCTTTAGAACATCTAAACATCTGTCACGTTGCCTGAATGCCTTTAATGTGGAGCAAATAATAAGTGAACTGTAGACCTTTTGTTTAAATTATTTGAAAAACCAGCAGCATGTCAAGTACGGCACCGCCAGGAATCGTTTAGACCGAGCACACCAGAAGCCTGTAAAAAATAATTGATGTACATATATATACATATATGTATATATACATGTATATATATATACGTGGACGAGGCAAGAATTGGGAAGTAGAAGGGAGCGAATAGTGGCAGAAGGCTTGAAGATAGGAGAGAGAAGTGTGAACAAATGGAAGTAAGCTTCTCTGCTTCACCTTTCCTCTGATCATAAGTTGCCTTTTGATGACACGGAAACATAGAAAAAACAAGGTCAGAGAGTCCATTTCTAAATTCCTAGAGTATTACAGAGAGGAAAATGGCATCCTTAGAAAAACAAGCATGAATTCACACCACAGTCTTCCTCTGTAGTCAGTATCATCTATGTCTAACAGTGTTGCATCATGGAACTGTGGAGGTCTGTTGTCTACTTCCTGGTATTCTAGTCTAACTTTGGTACACCAGCTGCTCTGTTTTCACCCTCACAGTGTGTCAGGTCATGTTCTGACTCACTGTTCCTGTTGATTTCAAATGAATCACAACTTCCCTGTAAAAGTCACAGTTTATAGGTCACGTTTGAGTGATAGGATAGCATCACATTGATTAGATCTAATTTCAGTGCCACCAAGAGCCCCGAGGGTAAGTTGTTGGGGAATACGGGTCGATAAGGGAATTGCTTTAACTCGTGCTGTCATCTGTGTTCCTGTCCGTTGGGCCATTGATGCCGGTGACACCATTACACCGAGCCAACAGGCTGTGTGCGCGTCTGTGCCTCTATTCAAATGCATGGACACATGATGTTAAGGTGGCACTGAACAGAGCAGGCCACTGCAGATAAGAACGTCCTCGCTGGGTTTTTACCACAGGGAAATCAAACGCTAGAGAGTTAAAACAAGTTACAGATTTAGTCTGCGGCCCAGTGGAGTTAATTTATTCCTTTTTAGACGGGAAGGTTGCTCAGAGGTCCAGAGGCGCTGCTGGTGTTTGGATTTCAACCGGTGTCGTTGGATTCATATTGATCTAGATAATGAAACCTGGAAACGCTCTTTCCTGGAAACAAAGTGAAAGGAAATTGATCTGCCTTGGCTTGGTGTTGTATATTTTATTTCAGTGTTCTTGTTATCTAGACATACCATTAAAGCTGATATATAACCAATACACACGCTGTGAAGTTGGTGCCCAGTCGAGGGTGAGTGCTTGCATTGACGCCTGGCTTGGATGTAAATGTCAACAGTATTTCATTGTGGTGAGCATGTGGGTACCTTTGGTTTGAGGCTAGTAAAGAAATAGGTTGTTGTCCTGTATGGCCAACCTCTTTTGCATTATTGGATTTTAATCTCAAGGGTTATTATGTTGTCTTTTGGACACATTTTAGATTAATAATCGGGCAGTGACGTGGGTTTGCTGCTGTTGCAGCAAGTGTCTGATGTGTTGTTTTTCTGTTTTTTTTCCCCTCCAGAGCACCATAAACCCAGTGGATGGGATCTACCAACCCCCTCTGGACACTCCTCTAGTCAACACCACGATGCCAACACAAACCACACTACCCACAGGTACTAAACATCTGCATTCTCACCATTACCTGTACACATTTATACACGTGTAGTCTTGTGCTTGATGTTAATGTAGGCTGACGTAGAATTCACAGACCCGACTACTCACAGAGAGGCTGACAACAGCTCCCCCTGTTGTTCATACTTTAATCTCTGGACCTGCTTTGTGTAACACACTTAATGGTGTTATGGAATTTGCCTGCTGACAAATACTTTTTTTGGCAATTTGATCCAAGAGCAAAGACTGTACTGGGTCAATATTCTGTCCCATTTAAAATCCTTATGTTCCCCTCTGGTATTGAAGACAATATCGATATTATTCATGGTTTTGATAAATGTACATAATGTTCTTTCAGTGTTTGAATGTTAATTGATAGAAGTTAACTTCCTGACTGTTGAGGCTCTACTCCAGCATGGTCAAGTAGCATGATATTGATTGTGGTTATCACATGTGTTAATGTGATGATATTTCATTTTTCCTACCCAATTCTCTCTGAAAATGATTGTATTCATGTTCTGTTTTGAGCAGATTCCTGTCCTTCAGTGTGATTTAGTTTTAAGGGATTTTATTGCAGTTAAATCACAACAAAATCTGTTTATTTTGGGTTCATACAGCTGTAGTAAGCAGCCGACGTGTGGCTTGCTAGGCACAGTGGATACACCTCAATAAAATCCACGAAGCTCCTCCGGATGATGTTATGAATGCATTTAGTTTCCTGCAATATCTGCGACTTCCACAACAAGTACTAAGCAGAAATAGAGGTTATTTCTTCCATGGTTGATGGAGAAAATATATGGCTTAGTTGATAACGGCTTCCATGGAGATAAGCCACTCCTCCTCTCTGGCACGAATAACAACAAATGGTCACGCCAGTAAACTGCTGCTAGTAACTCGACACAAAATTTGGCTTCACGTTTGGTGTGAACACACATTTAGATCTGACTAAAGTTTCAGGACTATTTCGGTGAAATGTCTGTGACTAGTCTGCTCTGAACGTGAACCATGCAAAGTAGGTCATGCTAATTTCCTCCTCTTAATAGACGGCGTAATAATCCCCCTCACAGCGGAGGCTTCTGTCTCGGATCATTATCTCAGCCTCCTGGATTTCAGGCTGCTGTTTTTTTAATGTGATGTTGCTTCATATTAAGGCTTCAGTGCTAAATCATCTACTTTCTCTCTTTTTGCTGAAGACGCTTCTCAGGTGTGTAAATCAGACCAACGCCCCTCCACGCTGTCCGTTGGTCCCGTCGTCACAGTGATGGGCAGTCTGCAGACCCCAACTCCCAACAGCACAGGTGAAAGTTCACTTCACACACATCAGAGTTTAATTACTACAAGCCAAATGAAATATTAGGAACTGAAGTTATATTCCTGGTTTGGTCCTTTGGTACAGTCCCTAGTGACATATTGATATAGTCACAACAACACACTCAATGTTCATTTATTAGCTGTAGGTTACGATTAGGTTTGGTGCTTTCAGTGATATAACATGATCTTCATTGGCAGATGAAGTTTTCATGGGATTAATTATTAGATATTCATATTTCCATCTTTTCTTAACACTTGAAGGACTTTTCATCCACGTTGGCTTAAAGATAACGTTCAAAGTTCATTGTTGACCTTGGAAACAGCAACTGTAAAATGAATAAATAAAAAAATAAAATACTTTAAGATCCATTAAGTACCGAAGGAGGTTTGAGGTGACATTGTTTCGTCAACTTCAAACTTCACCTTTTTATTTTGTCTTGCCTTAAAAATGAAAATCTTCTTACTTGTATTCCAATAAATGTGTTTCATTGCTCATATCCTGGTAAACATCAACATACGATTGTATCATCATTTGGAGAAAGAACAGTGTGGGTCCTTATCAGAATATTATTATTTATCGTTCGACCCTCTAATGTACAAGCTAATGTAACAAGAACTCAACCAAAAGAGCAAAAGTAATGATAACATGAATTATTACGGTACTCCAACCCTGAGTGCTGTGTCAACGAACATATTAAATTAAAAAGCCAAGTAGAAGAGCACAGCAAGGTTCACGTTTGTGTTCTGTGCTGAGGCAGCAGTATTAAAATGCTGCACTGTGCACTAAGGAGGCAGGCTGTGTGCTCGAGAGCACTGTCAATATGCTCTGCGGAGGAAGCCGTCACTACGTTAAAGACGGCTTGATGTTACTTTACACAGCCAGCTGGACCCGGGTCAGAAAGGAATGCTTTAATTGGACAGCATAATGTTGATTTGACGGTGACCTGTGTATGAATATGGAAGCCTGACTGAGTTGATCCATGAAATGAAAATGCTGCAAGAGAGAGCTGACATGACAGACAGTTTGTTGTTTTCTTTCCTCCTCTATCAGGGAGTGGCCCATCAGGCCCCAGCAGCGGCATGGCCTCCCCCACTCACATCCCCCTCCCCTCGCACTCGGTGCCAGACTTCTCTTATTCCTCCAGCGAGGATGAGTTCTACGATGCTGACGAGTTCTACCAGAGCAACACTTCCCCCAAGCACTGCATAGAGTGAGTATAGCATTACTCCCCCCTCCCTCTGCAGCCAGCACCACATACAGTGAATCTATTGTTTCTAATAACTTGAAAGCAACACTTTAATGATAGCGTTTTGCAGGTCAGGTGGGAAAATGCTGCCTCGTGCAAATAAACATTAAGTCAAGAGAGGTTTACGACACAATTTGTTGTGAATTTCCTCTCACTCTTCTCTTTCCTGCTTCCTGTCTCCTTGTCAACTCCCTGTATCTCCTCCTCAGTCCCTCAGGGCCTCAAGCTGCCTCGCTTCTCACCAATGAAGCGACGGCAATGAAACGACCGAACACCACCGAGTCCATGAACTCGTCCATGTCCAACGGCACCACCGATGCAGGTAAAAAGGGAAAGCACACAAGACGGCGCACACACAAATGTATAACAACAAAAACACTGAGCTGGTATGGTAATACAGTTATTACTATTAATCACATCTGGTTTTTTGAAATGGTAAAAAGTGACGTGAAAAGACGGGGAACGTAATGTTATGCTGTCCTTCTGCTGTTGTCTGCAGACCAGTTTGACAGCCACGATGACCGCGATGATGACGGAGAGGGCGAGTCTGTGGAGGAGCACAAGAGCGTCATCATGCACCTTCTCTCTCAAGTTCGTTTGGGCATGGACCTCACCAAGGTAAAGACCCCTGACCCACCATCACTTAGTTACGAGTCTGTATTTCTCTCGCTGCAGTGGTCCTTCATCCTCTTACTTGCCAACATCATCCGTGCAAGCGGCTTTCTATTGAACAACCCACACAGCAACAGTTGTACGATTGTTCTCATTCGTTGTGTTTCACAGGTGGTCCTGCCCACTTTCATCCTAGAGAGGAGATCTTTGTTAGAAATGTACGCAGACTTCTTTGCACATCCAGATGTATTTGTAAGGTAAGGGTCATCTCTCTCACTGGTGCGAGCTATGGCATCGCACAGATTTTTAAATACATTCACAGATGGTAAAATATTAAGTAGTTTAACTTAATTTTGTGTGACTTCCGCTAGTATCGCCGAGCAGCTGGAGGCCCGGGAGCGCATGGTTCACGTGGTAAAGTGGTACCTGTCAGCTTTCCATGCAGGGAGGAAAGGTTCAGTGGCCAAGAAACCTTACAACCCAATCCTGGGGGAAGTCTTCTACTGCCACTGGGATCTGCCCAGCGAAACAGAGGAGCCGTCCGCACACACGGTGAGAGCACATTTTACACCTTAGGTTAATGTCGCAGGAAACAAAACTTTCACACATCTTTACAAAAGTTCATGTTTATGCCGGATTTATTGTGACGAAGGTACCACTTCATATTAAAAAAAACAAGCTGTTACTTTAGTTAAAGTTTTGCCTGTTAAGTTCATTGAGACTCTGTATTTGGTTATACAAATAACACTAAATTCAACAAACTTTGTTCTTATTCCGTGAAACTGGTTTCCTTTTATGTTCATTGCTACACACACAACACCTTTCAATTTTATATTATTTACACAGTCACAACAATTAACTAGTTTTTCCGGTTTTGTATATTTGCAACCTGGTAAAACTTGTTTATTTTACCTCCTCCAGGAGACGGTATCAGAAGGTCCAGTACCGTGGTCTTCATCCAACAGTGTGTGTTTTGTGGCAGAGCAGGTCTCTCACCACCCACCCAGTAAGTCTGGATCCTATTTTTTTTATGATTTTGTCTTATAGGAACAATGCATACAGTGCAACCGATGCAGTGTATGTAGGACTTTTAGCCATAACTAATTTGCAGACCAGGTCTCTGGTTAGAAAAAAAAGAAAGTGTAGTAGTGACTCCTTTACTTCTAAGGGATTACAAAGCAAGTCTGCGAAAACCTTTTCACATGTAGTGTCGAGAAAAACGTGACCAGCACCCACTTCTCTTTTAGATCCTTTCTCATTGCCTGTTAGAGGTCAAAAAAAAATATATAAAGCAAAGTATATATGCTGTTGATCACACGTTAAATGAAGATATCTTCATCTTAAAAATGTAAATTAAATTGTTTGACTGATTTTTAAAGACTCGAGCTTACTGCATGTTTGCTTCATTTTCTGGACTCTTCTCTCCTTTCTATAGTTTCTGCATTCTACGCAGAGTGTTTAAATCAGAAGATCCAGTTCAACGCTCACATCTGGACGAAGTCTAAGTTCTTAGGCATGTCCATAGGTGTCCACAATATCGGCCAAGGTACTTAAGAGCTCTGCTTCACACACTCCAAAATATGATTATTATTTTTTTACACCCTCCTACTGTCACTACGTCATGTAGTTCTAATAATTATTTGCTGGTCTTGTTTCAGGTTGTGTGTCGTGTTTGGAGCACGATGAGCATTACATCCTCACCTTCCCAAACGGATACGGCAGGTGCGTGTTACTATATTCCTGCAACACATCTTTCTGGTCATTAATATGTGCGTCACTGATCCTTAGCCTGTCTGTCCAGGTCGATTCTGACCGTGCCGTGGGTGGAGCTGGGTGGCGAGTGCAACATCTCCTGCTCCAAGTCGGGCTACAGCGCGACCATCATGTTCCACACCAAACCCTTCTACGGAGGAAAGAAGCACAGGATAACCGCTGAGATTTTGTAAGAGGGAAAACGATTGCACAGCACAGTTTTTAATCACAGTTCAAAGACTGATTATGTATGAAAGAGTCTGACCTTTTTTTTTTTTTTACCACAATTCTTTTCTATCTCTCTTTCAGTGCACCCAATGATAAGAAGTCCTTCTGCTCCATTGAAGGAGAATGGAACGGAGTGATGTATGCCAAGTCGGCAACTGGAGTGAGTCTTTTCTTTATCTCTTCTTTTTCCCATGCCTGCATTTAGTGTTGGAGACTAAAGTAGGCATTCATTACACTTGAATGCCTACTAAAGGAAAAAGGTTTAGCTATGAATAAACACATTAATATATGAATCTGTGTGATTCCAGGAGAACACAGTGTTCATAGACACTAAGAGGTTAGGCACCATTAAGAAGAAAGTGAGAAAACTGGAAGACCAGCTTGACTACGAGTCCCGAAGGTGAGAACTTAAACTGCTCTTGCATACAATGGCGGACCTACCTAGGATCAAGGAAAGAAGTCCCTCACTCAGAAACAAAACTCTTTGTCTTTTCGCCCCTTCCATTCGCCAGATTGTGGCGAGATGTGACGTTGAACTTGAAGCGCAGAGACATTGATTCAGCAACAGAATCCAAACACCGGCTGGAGGAGAAACAGAGAGCCGAAGCCAGAGAGAGGAAGGAGAACGAGCAGCAGTGGGAGACCAGGGTGAGACTGTCTGTTCTTCATCTACCAGAAAGAACAGGAACACTGTGTGACATTAGACTACACACTCACAAAATGCTGGGACATTAACAAGCATCTTTTCACCTTTTTAAAGCTCTGTATATTCTTACAACAGCATGGGGTTACATGAGCAAAAGGAAAACATTCAATTATTTTCAAGTTAACAGATTGTACACCGTTTGTGTTGTTGTGATATAACAGGAAATTGAAGGCATTCAACACGTTTATTTTCCCAGGTAGACAAAATCAGTGTTAGAAATGTCAGATAGTTGTGCAGATTTATATTTGATTATAAACGATGTTTTTGCTTGTGTGTTGCTGCAGCTATTCCACGAGGACGGGGAGTGCTGGGTCTACGATGAGCCTCTATTAAAGAGATTAGCCTCTCAGCGGCAGTGAGAAGACGACGCACACTCTGATACACACAGCATACATATATGCATAAAGAAATGCACACACAGCAGAGTCTTCATAAGAACTCTTTTGCAAAGCCACTTCTTTTCCAAGCCTTGGAATGACTGATGATTGAATATGTACACAGCTTTGCATTTGACTGTAAAACAACAATATGGAAATGAATGAAATCAAATGGAAAAGCATTTAAGATGTAAATGTGAAATACTAGTTAATGCTCAACTCCTTATTTGGGCAATTTCACTTCCACCGCCACCGATACCCACCACCCAGCCAAGACGGGACTCTGCAGTGCACAGTGAAGACGGGAGGGTTGGCACATCTCGTCTCTCAACTCTGTGCGTCAAACTTCACGACGGCACACTCCATCAGCTCCACAGGACGAGCCAGAGCACCACTCGTTTCCGTACACAAACGTTTTTTTGGGGAGGGGGGAGGCAAGGGGTGTGTCTAATTGATGGTTGATGGTGTTCAAATCAAATAAACCTTGACAAAGAAATCGGCGCTCTACATCTCAGGGAATCTGGTGACTGAGGAAAGAAAGCGGCTGCCCCCTCCGAGAGTCTGACAGCCTTATAACGGTGGAAGTGATGAATCTTAAAAGGGGCGGGGGAGAAATTCTCCGCTAGCCTGCAAATAGTTGTAACTGTTGTTTATATATAGATATACATATGATGGATATATAAATATATATTCTTTTTTTTTTTTTTTTTTTTTTCCGATGCTCTTTTTGTTTGTTTTTCTTTCTGGCAATAGTGTAAAAAATATTTGAGGATATGAACTTGATGGCTTTACATCTTTAGGAATCATTCCATTTACCCTTTTGGTGTTTTGGGTTCCCGTTTCAGGTCAAAGTCGTCGCCTATTTGGTCCTTCACACTGTTCACAAGCAAAGCCCGACACAAGCCATAGCGTCTGAACTCACTGATTGGGAGAGTTGTGATAGATTTGTGGAATATATGCAATAAAGAGATCATTAACATTGCTTGTTTAAAGGACAAATATGGGTGTCCATTATGCCAAAAAGATTTAGATAAAAGGCTAACGGGACTTTCTCTCTGGACAGAACAAACAATCCTCTGAAAATGTTTCCATGTTACCTGAAGGTGTTTATGAACAAATGATTGTTTGCATATTTTTGTCTTTCTGGATTGCTGGTTCATGATGACGTGGAACACTAGGACTAAGTCTGTAAACGTCTCCCGGTTTCCTCTCCGAACCCACAGACGTCAGACTGGATCACCTTGATGGTTCACGTGTTGTCCCGGGATGAGGAGAGTGAAAACGTGGAACCAGAGTAGACTTTTGAAACACTGCGGCTTTGAGTCCAGACTGTTCTGACGATTCTGTTTTCTCGTCCACTTCATTTTCTTTGTCCAATAATTAGTTTAGATCACCACATAGAGGGCAATATTTATCCTACTATACACCTCTCCTTTCTTAAACAGTCATTATCTTATTTACAGCTACATAGATTGGATATAAATGCAATGATATTTGGATGAAAGTCAGAAATAAACAATTTTCACCTGAAGATGCTCAAGAATATCTCTCAATGCAGCTCACATCAGAGATGAATCTGGACAATTTCAATGAATATGAATCAAGGAACCTGTTGAAGGATCTATGAAGACAGACATATTCCTGGTGCTGTGTGTATGAAAACTTGCTGGTGAATTTAATCCTCTTAAGCATACAGAAATGCCTTTAGAAACGAGCCAAATTAAATTCAGTGTCCAAGCTAAATTTGTTAGTTTTTATTTCGTTTTTTTGTCCATGGTATGTCTTTGTAAATTATATTGAATCGAGGCCTTGCCATACATTTCAGTATCACTCAGTATCGCCTGATGGAGAGCAATCAAAATGTATTTTTAATTTTAATTTTGATCATAACCATTGATTGTATCAGATTTTCCTGTTTGTTGATGCATAATATTAAATCTCCATGAGTTTATTGCTGCGGGATATTGTCTTGGTTATTTCAAATGAGCTTTGCCTCAAGTCTGATCTTCAGAACGTTGTGACAGACTTCAGAGAGGAAAGATGACTCGACAGCTATTAGAAACCAACCAGGACTATAAGCTACAAAAACACTAACTGGTGTCAATTAAACTACATCAATTAGGTCAAACAAAACTGCATTTATGAACATGCACAATACAATCTTCATATTCTTAAAACTAGATTTTGAAACTGGTTTTCTCTACAATAGCCAGACGAAGATAAGCTAAAATTACGGGACCAGCCTTACTTGATATTGTCCATTAATTCCCTAAAAAATGTATAGTTAATTCAATTATGAAAAAACAATTGAAACACTTTGAACCTGGGTCTTTTTGGGTCCATTTTGTGAGTGTAAGCTCAGCAACATCAAATCAATACATCAATACACGGACCTTAAGTGATTATGTATATATTTTTTTATAATAATAACTATATATATAAATAATATTTTTTTTAAACAGTATTAATTAATTAATTCATGTATTAAATTATGTGACACGATTGGCCAGCAGGGGCACTAGCCACTGAACTATTCTTCCCATCAGCCATTGCGACATCTCCTATAAAAGCGGTCCGCACCCTCAGATAGTCCTCACTCTTCGGCTGCTCACCTGGTAACTATGACTTCAACTTAAAGACTGCGTGTAGTTGTCTTACTCTATTGTAGTCACATTATTTATGTTTACCTGTGACACCAGATGGAGACAACCTATTTATATGTCCATTATTGTGGTCATGGTCTGTCTTTTTTTTTTTAGCTCAATGTGTCTTTTGAGGAAATAATAACTTTAGTAGCAGGCCTCTACCACGTGCCTCACTGCGATGCTAACTAGCAAACGAGCTAATCTTCCTCTTATCAAATAAGAGCAACCTTGCTGCAGCATTCCCATGACTATATGATGAAATTAATGTTGGTAGGGACATCTGATTAAACATGATGAATGCCAACATCTCTGACTGCATGGGACAAGGCCTGCTTCTAGGCTGGCTTTAGCTAGCTGCACCGCTAGCTGCTGCGTGTACAGTACGTGGCAGGATAAGCTGCCGTTTAAACTACATTATTTAACTCTAAATAAAATGCAATTTTATTTTCTTACAGGCCGTCTGACAGAATCACTACACAATGAAGATGGAGTTAAGATGGTAAGCAAGCAGAAATCTTTTCTATATCATAACTTTAATTAGGTTTAAATAATTCATAATTGCAAAAGATAAACGTGGTAGTTCTACGTAACTTAAAGTGCTTCTTTCCTTCAGGTTGAGAAATAAGTCTTCAGGTTGTGAACGAATCTGCATAATATGATGGTGAGTTGCTTTTCTTTTTAGAAAAAGGACTTCTCCAGTCGGAAGTCTGTGATGTTTGAAGAGTAGTGGACAGATGTGATTTCTGAGAATTTTTTTTACCCTGAGACTTTCAGTTTAGCTATAAGTTTGTCTCAATATGACCAAAATGGTACTAAAGTGTGTCTCTCTCAACAGGTGTCTTGAAAGTTCAGTGCCATGCATGAAGCAACGGCAGAAGCAAATGAGGTGAGGCTCTATTAACTTAAAATCATAGTTGAGATGGATTTATGCTTCTCTGAGGTGTCTGCTGATTTCCATAGTGTCATTTTCAACTAGCCTCTGGCCCTTAAGCATGCAGACTTTAAAACATTAAAATATCTGCTGTGGCTGGACCCACCACATTAACACCCAGAGAAGCATCAGTCCGCCTCTTATTCTCCTCGTGCTGCTGTGATGACATTTATTTGCTACTCTCGACAAGATGGATGACGATACTCTCAACCCACCAGTTGACTTATCTGAGGCACAGAAGACATGTTGCCTCAGGTTTCAAGATTATTGTTTTGATTGCTCATTATTTGTGTTTCCCTGCAGGTGGTCCTACTGTGGTTCACGTTGACTGTTCAATGATGCGTCATTGCAGCAGGTAATGCATTATGTTATTTTACCCAGCATCCCTCTTAAACAAGCTGTCAATGATGCTTTTGTTTAAAAAAACAATTGGGAATCTCTCTGACAAGAGTGAAAGATAACTTTTGACTGAGTCAGTGCTGACTAAGATGAGCCTCCATGTTAAAATGGGAGCTCTTTCTAATAGCTGGTCTTGACTTGCAGGTGGTCCTCTGTCCTGGGCTCACGGTTAACTTACTTGGATGAGTTGCTGGTGAGTGAGATTTTGTGCTTAAAGTACATTAATTAAAAACTGGTCTGATACAATGATGATAGCATAGTTCAACAGACTTAAACATGAAGATTATGCGTTTGTCTTTCGCTCCTATCTGATGTGTCGGCCTCTAAAACCAGTGAGGCCACTTGATTTCTACACAGCTTTTTAAAACTTATTCTCAATTTTCAGGAATGATTGGCCAGCAGGGGCACTAGCCACTGAAATAGTTTCCCATCAGCCATTGCGACATCTCCTATAGTCCTTGCTCTTCTGCTGCTCAACTGGTAACTATGACTTAAACTTAAAGACCTCTTGTCTTACTTTATTGTAGTCACATTATTTAGATTTACCTGTGACACCAGGTGGAGACGAGCTATTTATATGTCCATTATTGTGGCCATGTTCTGTCTTTTTTTTTTTTTTTTTTTTTTTTTTTTTTAGCTCAATGTGTCTTTGAAGGAAATAACTTTAGTAGCAGGCCTCTACCATGTGCCTCACTGCAATTCCAATATTCCCCTTACCAAATAAGAGCAACCTTGCTGCAGTGACCCCATGACTATATGCTTTAACATGAAGAATGCCAACATCTCTGACTGCATGGGACAAGGCCTGCCTCTAGTCTGGCTTTAGTTGGCTGCACCGCTAGCTGTTTAAAAAACAATTGGGAATCTCTGACGATAGTGAAATAACTTGACTGAGTCAGTGCTGACTAAGAAATGCCGACTAAGAAATGCCTTCATATTAAAATGGGAGCTCTTTCTAATAACTGGTCTTGACTTGCAGGTGGTCCCCTGTCCATGGCTCAAGTTTAACTTGCTTGGATCCACGTTTAAAAAAAAAAAAAAAGGTGATTTTGTGCATAAAGTACATTAATAATTCATCTGATACAATGATGATAGCATAGTTCAACAGACTTAAACATGAAGATTATGCGTTTGTCTTTCGCTCCTATCTGATGTGTCGGCCTCTAAAACCAGTGAGGCCACTAGCTTCCTACACGGATTTCTAAAAATGTATGTTCTCTATTTTCAGGAGCTACGATATAGCTCGCAGTCCAAAAGGCGAAGTTACGGTGAGTTTAGAGGCTGAAGTAAAATGATCCTTAATGGGCGCATTTTCAAAGCAGCCATTTTTTACATCTGTGGTAATGTCAGCAGATGGTGTCACTTAGTATAAAAAAATTGTGTTTAAGCCTTTCCTGTGAGCCAGGATGTGCCATCTAAATGAAACGGGGCCATAATGTTAATGCATGCAAAATGGCTGCTGTGAAAGGGGCCCATGCTGCTTGATACAATGATGAGAGCATAGTTCAACAGACTACACCATGACGATTATGCATTTGTCTTTCGCTCCTATCTGATGTATCAAATGCAGTTGTCATTTAGCCCTTTGTGTTAAATACAAAAGATAATAACACAACTCTTCTCTTCCTATCAGGCATGGAAAACCTTCCTGCTGGAAAATCTTGACTGCTCTGTGTTGGTAAGTATCATCTCACAGATTGGCCTTCTGCAGCTAATGTCATTCAGATGTGATGACTTTGAATCAGGTCTCTGATCCCGTTGAGGAAGTTATAATTCAATCTGATCTGGATTGTTGCTTCTAGGAAAATAACTCTACTTTTTATTCGCCTTAATTTACACGAAGCTCTTCTCCTTGCAGGTGAAATCAGATTGTGACAGTCGTGAGGACAAAATGTCAGCGTGTCTGCTGAGGTGAGAATGCAAATCCTCCCATAAAATAAACTGGCGGTGACTTGGGTTCAGTGATGTCTTAACAAATGTCTGACCTGAACTTGTATGTGGAAATTCTGTTACTGAGTAACCCAGCGAATTAAATCTTAATCAACCAAAGTCACTGATTTGTAATAAGGTTGGTTTTTTTTTTTTTCCTCTTCCCCAGGAAGGGGCTGGATCTGTCAGACTGACCATGGTAAGCATTTTAACGTTTCTGATGGAAGTTCTGTGGATGCCATAAACTCACCACTCTACCTGTGATGAAAAGATTCTGCCAAATGATCTCTCTTGATTATACTCCTACCGTTCCATTATTTTCTGAGGCCGTGTGGTCAGTAAACTGTTTTGTGTCGCTGTTTGCCCTGATTTATTTTAATGAGAAATCTGTTTCTCCCCCCAGAATGAAGCCATGGAGTTCTTGATGACCTGAGGTTCACCACTGGGCCTCGAGGATATAAAGAGAGTTGTATTATGTTGGTACATAATTGTGTCAATAAACGATCAAAACCAATGCTGCCTGTTGTGTGTGTGTTCTCTTTAGAGTTTAATCTGCACTAATTGGATTATGTCCATGTCTCCTAATTGCTTGACATAAATGGTGGCATGTAAATGAACCGGTTTTTGGTCCCACATTAACGAAAGTGACGTTTATCGTTACCGGAAATTATGTACTTAAGGACCGTTGCATATAACTATCCATAAATGGTCTCTACCTCAGGCTGTTGCATTACAGAGACCGCCAGAGCACAAAGCGATATACATATTTTCTACTTGTGGGTTCTTTCGGCGGATATTAAAATGTTACGATGCAGTTTAAAAAAAAACCCGGAGACCGAAAGCGGTGACTCCCTTCGAAGACGGGCGGAGCTTTGTGAGCGCATGCGCTGTAGACCAGCTGGGAAAACCGCCCCGCCTTCGCTACCATTGAAGGGGCGAGGGTTAAATATCCCTGTGTGCAGGCCCCCAATAAAACGCCGTGTCAGAATAAACGGGAGAGCCTCAGTCCAGCTTCGGCCGCCTCGGACCATCCTCTTCACCGATGTTTGTGCCGTGGTTGCTGCCTGTGCTCCTGGCTCTGTCCGCAGAGGCCGACTTCTTCCAATTCGACAGCATTTCCAATGTTTCTACTTACTATTTTAATTATATTTATTGCAATATATGGGAGGGGGATTGTCAGCCCAACCAGGACGATGCTACACAGCAAGGTAAGAGATGTCGGGAAAGCTTTTCTATCAAACGCTATGTAGCCTATGGCTTGTCAAATTGATCACAAATGGAAACATATCCGGTATGCGCGCTACATTACATTTAAGTTAGCAATTTCCTCCTTGATTATCCTGACTTACACTATTGATATATAACAGTGGTTGTCTTGTTAGCTGTTCCTACCACGAACCTTTGGGCAGGTTTTTCTCAGGACTACACCAGCCTGCTGCATCAGTGGTACTGTAGTCTGGGCCAGTGCTGTGAATCGGGAGACTGCAGGATAACCAACAACATCTCAGGTATCGCACTCCAGCTCGGTGCATGTGAGGGTCTGAGTGAGCTGCAGTCAGCATGAGTGTAAATTACATTTACTCTTTTATGACTTTTGTTTTTATTCGGTGGTGTTACAACATGGTTAGTAGCTCACTATGTACCATTTCAGAAAGGGAATATAACTATACTCTATTGGTCTGTTATTGTAGAGATGTACAACTTTATTTTCAAATGTAACGTGCAGCTTTTGAAGGTTTTTCTAACAATGACATCAGGATTATACAAGTCGCATTAATAGTCTTATTTTTGACTTCACATGGACTTCTAACAATATACTGGGCTGCAGATGTAATAGCAGTGTAACTCTGCTAGGACTAATTATCTATCTGCTGCTGCCGTTTTTACACACTCTCCTGTGCACACGTGCAGGTCTGGCGAGGGACCTTCAGACGAAGCTCCACGGGCAGCACCTGGTTCAGTCTGTGGTTCTGAAAGCCATCCAGGGTTTCATCAACAACCCAGAGTCCAACAAGCCGCTGACACTCTCCTTCCATGGCTGGTCCGGCACCGGAAAGAACTTTGTGGCCCGGGTCATCGCTGATAACCTGTACCGCGACGGGGTGAAGAGCGAGTGTGTCCGACTGTTCATCGCCCCGTTCCACTTCCCGCATGCCAGGCTGGTGGACACGTACAAGGTAAGACATGCAGAGCCCTCTTGGTACAGAGTTTGCCGTTCTGTGCCAGGAAAACACGTTGGCAGTGACTCCGTGCTTGCTTATTTAGATGTTTAGTTTGTGTGTTGTACTTTTGCGTATCAATGATAACGGTCTGGACAGATGCTTCAAATCAAACATTGGTCCTACACGTACTGAAATGTTTGGCTTTTTGGAACCTGGTGTTCGTCCAACTAGGTCTCAGGTGCCAGCGTGGTCCCACCACATTTTTACACAATCACTGAATTAGATTTCCAAATAATGTTGACACAGTGTTATTAAACAAATGAATCCAGATGTAACAGGGTATAGTACGCATGGTAACCTTTAAACCCTAATACTATCAAAGTCTGCAGAATCTGCATATGTGGACTTTTCTGCTATGTGACTTGACACGGTCTCCTTTATAAGGTAGATTTAGATGGTTAATGATAGAAATAAAACATAAAACATTTAAATTACCTTTTGTACCTTATGACTAAAGTGCAGTGGGAAATGCATCTTATTGTCCTATTACTTTAAAAGGTCTCCATACTATATTCTGAGCATTAATATAGCAAAAACATATATATATTTGCTCTGTAAAGATATAATGGAGTAATGTCTACCTGAGCAGAGAATGATGTCTCTCTCCCTCTGTAATCGACAGCAGTAGAAATGCTCTGAATTTTGCATTGAGCACCTTTAATATCTCATATATAAGTGTAAATGATAGTATATATAAAGTCTGAACTGATTTTTAACTGTGGTTTGGTCCTCCTCTCTGTTTCCAGGGCCAGTTGAGAGAGGCGATCCGGGACATGGTGTTACGCTGCCCTCAGACTCTCTTCATCTTCGACGAGGCTGAGAAGCTTCACCCAGGCCTCATTGATGCCATCAAACCCTACATGGATCATTACGACAACGTAGACGGAGTCAGCTACCGCAGAGCCATCTTCCTCTTCCTCAGGTTGGTTTGTATGTCGGGCACGTCCTGTCGGTTGAAGCTGGGTCAAAAACTCTGAATGTGTTGCGCCTCTGTCGCTGGTATTCTGGCAGCTCATCTAAAATGAAGAAACGCATTTTTCAATACACGATGTGGGAGAGGCCTGGGATCACTAAAACATATACAATATCACATGTTAAATATTCGTGTAGAATTCTCAAAGCTTACGAAAACTTTCAGGTGATGACACATAAATTAAGACATAGTTATGAATATTATATTATTAGTAGCATTATATTCTGCTAATAAATCCCCCTAAATCATACACACCGACCCTTTACGTATAAAGCTCATGTGTTTAAAGACAGTATGCAAACAAAAAGCCAATCCTCATCTGTTATACTGATGCAGTGAACCAAACCAGAAAAAAAAAAATCGAAATTCTCCATAAACGTCAACAACCTCACAGATTTCCCATCATGTTTTCTACGTGCCTGTTGTCTCTACAGTAATATTGGTGGAGCTACGATCAATGATGTAGCGCTGGACTACTGGCACTCCGGTCAAAATCGAGAGGACATTGGTATGGAAGACCTGGAGCATCGTCTACGAGCTGAAACTATGGAGTCTCATGGTATGCTCGCTCAGACGCTTTCCAGATGTTCAGCTCTCCTCAGCAGTTTAACTCTTCAGCAGTTTAATTGTTAACTTTAACTCTCTGCCATTTCATCCTGGGCAGGAAGTGAACCATTTTAATAGTGAGTTGATAGTAAGCATAGAGCTGCAGCCTGGAGTATTGATTCATGGATCAGTGATAAAAGCAACCCTCTGACATTAAAGCAAGTCTTTTCTAGCTTAATACAAAACATGGATTGGTGGCACTTTAATTGTGTTTAATTGTGATTTCTAAGCATGGTTCTCTTTCCCAGGTGGGTTCGCTCAAAGCGAGCTGATGTCTGGCCACTTGATCGACTTCTTCGTGCCGTTCCTGCCTCTGGAGTACCGCCATGTCAAGCTCTGTGCGCGGGACGCCTACGCAGCACGAGGCCTGGAGACGGATGAAGCTACGCTGGATGAGGTGGCCAAGGCGATGCTGTATGTCCCCAAAGAGGAGAGACTGTTCTCAGCACAGGGATGCAAATCCATCCCCCAGCGGATCAACTTCTTTCTCCCTTAGAAGGAGAGACAGACCGACAGACAGAGAGAGAGAGAGAGAGACCTGGAGGAGGTGTGAGATTGCTTTACCAGCCCATCTGCGTACAGAGCCACAGCGGAGATGTGTCCTCTCTGCTCTGCGTACTCTCCCCCAACAGATACGATACGTGTCTGTCCAGGTCCCTCAGAGAAGGCCAGACAGCAGGACTGATCCAGTATAAAAGGGGAGAGCAGCTCGACTCATCCTGCAGACATGAGTAGTGCCAGACGGTCATCGCGTGCAGTGTGGCTGCTCTTCTTCACCTGCCCGGTTTGAATCCTCACAGTATCAAGACGGAGAATTAGACAGTTGTAACGGTTTTGCAGCGTATGTCATGGAGAGATACTGATACACTTTTTGTCTCATTATTTATGTCTGTTCACCTTGGCCAGCGTCTTAGTTGCACTGTTTTTAAAGTTTGACTTCATACTTCTCGTGTTGTTTTTTGCCTGTAAAACATAGTGCTAAAATGAGCACTGATTATTTATTGACCAACTTGAGTTGTGCCATAGTTCAACATTTTACTGTCCCAGATTATTTGTGTGGAGTTGTTTGAATAAACATTTGATGGTAACGTAAGGTAAATATTAAATGGCACTGTACTGTCAACAGTGTGGATGTGTAACAGCTAACGTACGTGGTACTGTGATGCAAATGTTACTTGAAATTGTTACTGAAAATTTGAGTATACGCCTCAAAAGCAATAAATCTATTGAAAGTACTTTTTTTTTGTTGTAAATATGTTTAATAACCATGCTTTTATTATATTTTTAATAGTCAGTTACTATTGTTTCACGTCTTGGTGTCGTCATCATTGCTCTTCAATTTTCATTCAATTCATCAATTTTGGGCATAGTTAACTAATTTGTTTTTATTCAATGACTTGCTTTAACACTTGTACTCTCACACAGGTCTGAGGTTGTCTGCTTTAGTGCTTTCAGTGCCAAAGCTCAGGGTCGCGTCCCAAGAAGAACATGAAATGTCAGAAATGGTTTTATGAAAATAAACAGCCACAGTAAACCAACAGAAGTTTCTTTAATGCATTCATTTAAGAGGATTCATTTATCGTATAAACTTAAGCAATTGTAATGTTTCTTCGTGGTGCTTACTATCTATCTATTTCTTTAAATAGTGCAACAACAGCATGCAAGGGTGGTTAAAAAATAAAACGGAACATCCTGAACAAATCCAGAGCTGACCGGTTGTCAACATGAGAGAATGCACATTTGTATTTCAAGGCAGCATATGTCAAATTACAACATTTTCTCTATCTTCCAATACATAAAAAAACTGTTGTGTTACTGGTTTTACGTTGATTTTAACCCGGGACTCCATACATATATGATTCAGCTACGGCGCATCACTCTTCCTTGGGCGTGTATCAAGCAAACGCGTGGTCTGCTCCCATTGGCTACAGCAGTTATCCGTCCAGATTTCCTCCCCTCTGATTGGCCGAGACGAGTAACGCTTCCTCATTGAGGTTCAAAGCCCTCGTCCAATCAGATTCAGACATCTGTTCCGAGCCGAGAGGAGAGCAGCGGCAGCCTCTCAACGCTTTCCACTGTAACGTTACTGTATTAGAGACTGGACCGACGAACAGCGCCTGCTCCGTCACATAGACAGATTAAATAGATTCATTTGTACTTATAGTCGTAATTTCATTTGGCGCGGTGCTTCAGCTCGTCACAATGACAGCTTTGTCGCTGCTTTTGTTGGCCGTTTCGGCCGCATCTGTCTCGGCCGAGTCCGCTGTGTATTTGCGAGAGGAATTTGAAGATGGGGGTGAGGTCCTTTTTCTATTTAATTATGCCTAACGCTACATTGTTTCATTTTTTTTTTGCTGTGATTTGTTGAAACGTGTTTTAAATGTATTAGACATCACAATATTAAATCAGTGCATGCGTGGTGGGTTTGATTTTTTTTTTTATATGACATCTCATAATTTGACCATTTCTGTGTGTCTTACTGTAGGCACATAGTCCCATTTACATTGGCACCATTCATCTTTTAACCTGTCTCCCCTCCCTTCCTCCTTGTCCTCTCCATTTTACCCCCCCAGCTGTCATCAAACCCTGCCTGTCTCCCCATCCCCCTCCTGCACATCTCTCCCGTGGTCATTCACTGTTTCCCTTCTTTACCTTATCTGTGTTGTTCTCTCACCACCGGCCTCATGACAAAGCAAGAGGTGTAGATGGTGAAGGCGGCCACCAAATGCATTGCATGCCCCTGCAGCGCATCCCATTCCTAGTGCACCTGCACCGATGCATCATCGGTGGTGGATTAGCAGCCTGTGAGTGTGTTAACAGTGACTGCTGTGCAGCTGAAACCTACTCTTGTTCGTGCAGATGCCTGGAAGAGTCGCTGGGTGGAATCCAAGCACAGGTCGGACTACGGCGAGTTGGTCCTGAGTGCAGGGAAGTTCTACGGAGATGCAGAGAAAGACAAAGGTGAGTGGAAACCTGTAGATTAAGGGTGTGTATCCTGTTTGTCTGCGGTCTGTCTTGAGGAGATTTAGGGAGTGATTTGAGTAAGACTAACAAGGATATAGTGGGATTCATTTTGGTTTTATTGTCGTCTTTAAAGGACCATAAATTCTTCAGTTGTTCATGTGACATTTGATGGCGGCACAATACAGAGAAAATGTAACAGAAGTACATTTTTAGTAATAAAATCAAAATCTACACTCTTTCTCCCCGACTCTGAGATTAGAGCTGGGGGTGAGTGACACTTTTTAACGTCGGAGCAGAGTTCAAATGACACTGAACTAGTGACTGAGCCTGTGTGCTCATACAGTATGTCGTTCTTGTTTGGGTTATTCTCCCCAAATGAGATTACTCTGAATGCAGGGCTGTTCCATTATTCACTCTCTGTGGATTCGACTCTCATGACATCATCACAACAGGCTGCTGTACAACCTGACTTGTTGAAATTCAGGCATTTAAGATAATCCGAAAAATTTAACAGAACGCCGGTGACTTAAACATAATGCTGGGTCTTCCCTTAATGCAGATGCATTGCAGTAAGATTTTCTTTATTTCGCCGCAGGTCTGCAGACGAGCCAGGACGCCCGCTTCTACGCGTCGTCGTACCGTTTTGATGACTTCAGCAACCAGGGCGAGCCTCTGGTCATCCAGCTCACTGTGAAACATGAGCAGAGCATTGACTGTGGCGGAGGCTACATTAAACTGTTCCCCTCTGGCCTCAACCAGGAGGACATGCACGGAGACTCCGTCTACAACATCATGTTCGGTGAGTGTGGATAGTTTCAACAGTGGACCAAAGGACTCCGTCGCTTTTCTTTATTCTTTCAGTGGACAGTACAAGTCATCTTGACAATTTTGGTGGCACTTTTCTTCGCATTATGTTAAAAAGTGTATTGAATATTCATTTAAGATGGAGTTTAGATATTCCTTATCTCCTACCCCCTTGTGTTTGCCTAGTTTCTACTCTTACGGATTGGATTCCACACTTTTTACTTATTTGTTTGTTTGCTTGTTCAGGTCCCGACATTTGTGGCCCCGGCACAAAGAAGGTTCATGTCATCTTCAACTACCAAGGCAAGAACCATCTGATTAACAAAGACATCAGATGCAAGGTGAGAGATCAATAAATGGTTCTTTGTTTTTTACATTTACATCACATTCTAAAGTTCTACATGAAAATCACTCATGAATCTAATGCAATCAGACTAACAATACTGTTATTACAGGATGACGAGTACACCCACTTGTACACACTGATTGTCAACCCTGACAACACTTACGAGGTCAAGATCGACAATAAGAAGGTTGAGTCCGGCAATCTGGAGGATGACTGGGACTTCCTGCCTCCCAAAAAAGTTAAGGACCCTGAAGCCAAAAAGCCAGAGGACTGGGATGACCGGGAGCAGGTTCCCGACCCTGACGATAACAAACCAGAGGTCAGTAGGCGTTAGCCACCCGAGAAATCGATTCGTTCGTATTTTTCATAATCCTTTTGGGGACATTTTTCTCCTACTGATACACGTTTATATTTTGCAGCATTGACTTCATTTGCATGAAAGCCATATGTGTTTTTAATGTCTTTCTTATGTCTTTGGTAGGACTGGGACCAGCCAGAGAACATCCCAGATCCTGATGCTAAGAAGCCCGATGACTGGGATGAAGAGATGGACGGAGAGTGGGAGTCACCTATGGTCACTAACCCTGAGTACAAGGTAACGGCAAACATTTTTAACACTTAATATAATCTGTTTAGTCAATAGGTTACACTACTGCTGTGTCCAAAATAACTCTATAATACTCTATATTAACATCATTTTATGTGAGTGTCCAATATCTCAGTATGAAACATACATGCATGCGTCATACAGCGTCCTCAACGATTCCCACAGTGTAACAAAAAATGTATTTTCCAGAGCAAGTACACCACTTTTTGATAAATATCCTACAGTGCAATTTTTCACCGTTCCATAGATATGAAAATTACAGTTACCCAATCCACAAGTGGAGCATGAGTAAATAAAGGTGTGATTTTGGACACAGCCTGTTTCAACACAAATAAAGCTTGAGTTGTAGTTGTGCCAAAAATATTTACTGTGTGTGTTGATAGGGCGAGTGGAAGCCCAGTGAGATCAACAATCCCGCCTACAAGGGCAAGTGGACCCACCCTGAGATTGACAACCCGGAGTACACAGCCGATCCTGAGATCTATAAATACGACAGCATCGGCGTGATTGGACTCGACTTGTGGCAGGTAAGAACATACTGTAGCTGACTGTCTCAGTTACAGGCCGGCACAATTAATCCAAATTTTATCGAAAGCACAAGTTGGCCTGCTGCTGTTTTTATAATCGCAGGAGGCGCAGTATTTGTTAGAGGGGGAATTTGTGTCATAATACCATTTTAGATTAAATGTAGTCCTGCTGCAGAGATTTCATGGCTGATCATATTCTACAGACTTAATAAAACATCTTTGTTTGCTGCAGATACTCGCAACAATCACACAATAAGCCTTTCAATGAAAATGAACATGTTCATTCCCTCGAATCCAGGAAGAGGAACATTTTACTTGCACAGTAGACTTATTTCCAGTTAAAGACACTGTTAAGTTTAATGTTTGAGTTTCTGGTTTGTTCACAAAATAGTTTCTTTTCTATTTCAAATGTGAGATGCTATCTTAGAAATGAAGATGCTCCGGAGATGGAAGAAACTGTAACTTTTCTTTTATTGGATTTGTTTGCATGAAGCAGCTGACAGTGAAATGTGGACTTCTTTATGATTTAGGTCAAGTCCGGTACCATCTTTGATAACTTCCTGATCACCAACGACCCAACCCTGGCGGAGGAAGTAGGGAACGACACATGGGGTAAAGCTAAGGTCAGCCCAAAACTTTTATCTTAAGCCAGGCGTGTATCCCAATTTTCCCTAATTGAATTGCTTGGTGGGTGTAGCATCAAGTAAGGTTGTCTATAGACAGCCACTGTCACAAAGATATGATCACTTGTTAATTTGTTGTCTTCATGTGAAATGTCTCCAGGATGCAGAGAAGAAGATGAAGGAAAGCCAAGAAGAGGAGGAGAGAAAGAAACGTGAGGAAGATAACAAGCAGAGGGGAGAGGAGGCAAAGGAGGAAGAAGAGGAGGAGGAGGAGAAAGAAGAGGAGGAGGAGGGAGATGAAGAAGAAGAAGACGACGAAGAAGAGGAGGAGGGAGAAGAAGAAGAGGACGATGAAGGCACAGACTCTAAACTCAAGGACGAGTTATAAACTCCATGCAGGAACTAACTGTGTCAATGAGCCATTGGAACGAGGCTGGAGGCCGATGAGAGGATAGACCCTCATGACTGACACCCTGGGTGGGGTTGGGTGGGATGGGGTTTTCCATTTGTTTGTTTACAAAGCAAGGGAGTAGGTGAAAAAGGGCAATTATTGTTCCGTTTCCTGTTTCCATGTGCTACTACTACTACTACTACTACTACTACTACTACTACTATTGTTATTATTATTATTATGAAATGAGGAATAGTGATAGAAAGAAGGAAGATGTCATAGTGAATGTCAAGACAGGAAATCAAACCCATCAGCTAAATTGTTTTGCCCAACAGAAATTCTGTTTACCTCATGTGTTAGTCTTATTAATGTGTCACATGTTTTTTGTTGTTGTTGTTGTTTTGTTTATCTTTTGCGGTCAATCATGTCTCTTTGTCTCATGGCCTCCTTTTTAAAAAGCTTCGTCAATCTCAAATGATTCGAGAGGGTTAGACACCATTAGACATGTAATTTTACCCGCTCTTATTTAAATGTCTTGATTTGAACAAGGGTTAATGGCATGGTGCATTAGGACTGACACAATACATCTGACAACCTGTCGTCCATAGGATGGTAATCCAGGGTGCTTTAAGGTGAAATCCCTTGCATAGTTTTGTACTGTATAGTTAACACGTTTTTCACTTCATATGCTGTAGTCTTGTGTGTCTAAATAAAGTGTGCTCAATCTCAGATGTTCATTGAGAGCACTCCAGTAGCAGGTAAGCTTCCGTTCATTTGGTACGTGTTCACTCATAGTCGGTGTACACAACCAGTTCTCCTCATATTTTGATGCTGATACCTCTGCACTGCTGTACCCCCCCCCCCCCCACTACACTGTCCCAAACAGTCTGAGAGATGATGCTTTTGTAAAAAGACACATTTTGTACTAATGGTAGTAATTGAAGTGGGAAGATTTCCATGTTGCTGTGTAAAAAAAAAACAGAACAAAAGACAGGTGTTCTGTCCAATAAAATCAACTGGGAAAATGAGCAGATGTCTTCCTTAAGGTTTTGTTTTGGTAGTGGCTTTTTACTTTCAATGCAAACCTTTACATGGATCCTTTTTAGTCCCGCAGTGGGGAAATTTACAGGATTACAGCAACATAGTGGATAGTGCAAACAGACATTCAAAAACAAGTATTATAAGTAATAAAACAGTGAAGAATATTAAATAAGTAAAAAAATCCACAATAACTAAAATATATACAGACAGAGTAATTGTTGTATTGAACAGTGTATTTGTATTGCACAGATTTTGAGTGTTGTGATATTATGAATGGATTAAACTACCCAATAGTACATACAGTAGTTAACATTAGCTCCACCTAATGGTAGTAATGATAATATAAGAGTAAACATGTGAAAAGGGCATTTTAGCATATTTATGTAATTGTAAAGCAGGACTTTTACTTGTAATGGAGTATTTTTACATTTTTGCCAGGGTGATTGGTTTTTAACTTTGAGTTCACTTCCTACAATTTTACCAACTCATTATATTTCAATTACCAGATAGTGACTTAACAGACATTTATTTGGATACAAATCTTATTACTTGAGATTATTACTTAACGCAAATTGTCAGATGAAATATAAAAAAATTCAAATGATTAAAGAAATTGTCTTAACTCATATTTCAAAGATTCTTGTTCAGGCCCTGATTGTTGTATTTCTTCTGTGACTTTAGAACTGCCATCTCTTCTTTGTAATGTTATATATTATTATTTTTGCTCACGCGTATGGTTTGTTTTTTCGGACGGGATAACACACGCTAATGAGTAACGTCTGCAGTCCAGTCATATGTCGCGGAGGTCCAGCTCCAGGTTTTTCAGCGGCCCCTGTCTGTGTCTGGCAGCAGCGCAGCAGCGTTGAAAGCAGTGGGAAACAGAAACACTATGGCTGCCACTCTGTCGCTCACTCAGGTAACACTGTCCTACAACTCTAATCTAACCATAGCAAACGTGTGTTGTGTCCGCTCGTCCGTTCTGCTCGGGGCACATTTCAACAAGTGTTGGGTGAAACTAGGCGGGCAGAAACGAGAGCTTACCTCGACCTCTCGTCTCTCTTTTTGGAAGTTCAGTGCTGCTGCTGTGACTGGGAAAAGTTTCTGCCTAATCTCTGAGGGGACTGCGTAAGGGCGTAGCTAGCTAGCTAGCCCGCTAGCTAACCGCCGGTTTGTATGCGGTGTCGGGCTGTTTCAGAGCCGCTTTAATCAAACTTCACATGAGCTGTGTCACGTTACTGGGCGTCGTGTCGGTTAGGAGTGTATGTTGTCGTTTTTTTTTTGCGCTGCCTCGTTTTTGCTGCAGGCTAGTTGGTCTCCTGGCCAAAGAGACGTTAATACGAGATAGGCATGTGTGGCTCTGTTGACTGTCATATCTGTGCTAGTGGAGCCTCTGCCAACACCGCTAAAAAAAAATAAAACCAAAGCAAGTTAAGCTACACTCATTGTACGTTATAACCTACGTTGTGGATTCCCTTGATGTTGACTTGATATATGGTTAAACTGAATAACCGACCTGGTTATTGCTATTGTTGGAGGTAAACATGCTTCACTGACCGGGTTAGTGTTTTCCTCTATGACCTCTCTGAAGTGGACAACGTGAACTGTTAGCCTGTTAGCTGCTAAAGCTGTTTTTTTGTGTCCATTATATCACCAGAAAAACTCCAAATATTGTTTAACAGTTATTTTGCAACCAGTAAGAGGAAGTGAACCTGAGTAGCCATCAGTCAGCACTTCTGTCACAAAATGTCAGACTGCTGCTAGCTGCAGTTTGTGTAGAAATGTGTTTTGTTTGCACAGTAAATAAGTTATTTAGCATTCAGCAGCCACATATAATAAGTAGGTTCCAGTCCCAGACTTGTTACCTGAGCCACTGTTGCCTTCAACAACAGACAGGAGCTGTCTGCCACCAGCTGCTTTGACCTTATTGTCTCACACAGATGAGTTCATGAACCTGTGCTTCTAACTCATGTGTTGTGAAACTTCCCTGGTCTGTTAGGCAAGTGATGCTTGTTTTTAAATGAGCTGTCAGCGGTCACCGCCTCATCATCCTCACACTGACGTACTGTACGGTGTTACCAGTGACAGTGATGTGTTTTAAGTGCCACGGCTGAATTAGGGAATTTAAATGTCTAGAACAAACTAGCATGAAATGTATCTTGCTCTCTGCTACAGTTGTGTGTGCGGGCTGGCTGGGGAATGATTGAGGGGTGTTTTTGTTCAATGCTCAATTAAAGAGTCACCAGTACAATGACCACAGTGTTACAGTCGCCAACAGTTCCAGGCACACTATTGTGTGTGTGTGTGTGTCATAGAAAATAAGTTGCATAGGCCAGAGAAAGATAAGTGTGTGTGTGTGTGTGTGTGTTTGTGTGAACACAGTTATCTTGCTTTTAAGTTGGCAAAGCTGACAGATAACCATGCTGATCACCGGCTGTGTTTTCATCTGTGCCCAAGCTATTTGGACAAGTCTGCAACAAGACTGACAGATCTCTGCTATGCTCTTTGTTTTTACATTATGGAACGATGTTGCATGTCAATTTGTTTCTCCGTGGAGGACAATTACGACAGCTTTAACCACCGGTTTGAGTAGCCACTCCCCGGTTGATTCACAGCTCAGACAATTACTGTCCACTCCTCTCCTCTCCTCCATCGCTGCACCTGTTGATTTAAAAAGCACATCAACCAATTGTCAGTTTCAGCTATATCCTGTTCTGTCCAGCAATGGACAATCGTGCTAACACCGGAAAAAGGGGGGGGGGGGGGTGTTTTAGAGAGGATGTGACAGAAGGTTAAATTAGCTTGTTGTCTGTGGAGCGACACCCTGTTGAAACTGTCCTGCTGGCCATCAGTGCTCAGTAGACTTGGGAAGTGTAGCCTGTATGCTGAAGTCATTACCCTCTCTGCAGCATTAACCCTCTTCATCAATGAGACTCATAGATGTTCACTGTCGGGTTTGTGTGACACGTTCTGTATTTCTCCAGAAAATTAGCTCAAAAAAAGACATTTATCGAGCAAACACCCCAAACATTTCCTGGATGAATGTATCTGGGTTTCGGAATGTTTTGCAATGTTGGACCTTTTTCTCGAATATGTGGTGTTTCATATATATAAATATAATTTCGGTTAATAAAAAAATAATAATTGAAAAGGAAAATAAGTTATATTTGCAGCCCTAATCTGAGAAGAACACACTTACATCCTTGTTTTATTTAATGGTAAAATATGTCTCATGAGAGCTATTCTTTTGCATATTAAACTGTGCATTTCACACCGCCAGATGTTTTGAGCCGTTGACAAATAATGCAGCTGTTTTAGTGACGAGGAAGAATAAAGCTGAATGTAACATATTGCTTGTAGTCTGTGTGTCTGCATCTGCCATCTGTAATGGATCAGTCTCTTTGTTTTTTCATTTTGACAGCTGCCCTGGATCAGTCAGTAACACACTGGCTGTAGCCAACAAACACTTATCATTTGAGCTTGTAAACTGCAGAATTGAGAAAGGATTTTAAAGTGTTAGTTTATTTTCTGACACCCTATTTTAATGGTAATTTTAGGGATTTGATCAATTTCATGCATGAACCTAAAAGAGGCCTCATGAGCAGACACAGGTGGGGAGGTTACAGTCTTAAAAGGTGCGTTTAAATAAAAGTAAGAGCTGGTTAGATTCATGCTGTAAACTCAGATTTGTGTATTTCATTCTTTTCCCACTTTCCTTACAGCTCTCCAGTGGAAATCCCATTTATGACAAATACTATCGGCAGGTATGCAAACAATATGTTTCCTTTTGACTTTACTGTTGTTTACTCTGTTTATTGTTTTGCTCTTACAGTATAACATTAAGTGTTGAGCCCATTACCATTGTTTGATATCGTCATTGTATGATTCATTTACTGTTATTGTTTTGTGCTGTTAAATGATCTGGATAAGAGATGGCTTCAGTACAAAAATAAATGTTTGTGTCCTGGCCCTTTAAACTCTAAACTAGCTTCAGCTGCTTCAATAAGCTGTAGTGTGCTTAAGCAGTGAGCAGTGATCTCTCTTCTCTTCTATCTGTTCTGGTTTTCTGTGTCCAGTAAAGGAAATATCTCCATGAATTAATAATGCTTCCCTTTGCCTGACATGTCAGGGGAGCTCACTGTGAGCCTCATGAAGGACTACCAACAGATCCAATACCGAGCTAATAGACTGCTGAGAAAATAGCTTTGGTTTATCGTCAGTATTGATTTAAGTGATTCAGAGACTCCTATCCCACAGGGAAACTCTCACAGTTTTCATTTCCTCTTTCTTCCTCTTTCAATTCAAACATATTGTGTTGTGGTCTCATGCTTTTGGCTAGTAAGACATTCAGTGTCTTTCTCAGCAGTGCAGATGTGTGACTGATGTTTCTGAGATGGGATAGGCTGTAATGGCTGGTTGTGTGTTTGGTATTTGTGTGCAGGTTGATCCGACTGGCAGTGGGCGGGTGGCGGCAGCTGATGCAGCTCTGTTCCTGAAGAGGTCTGGCTTGGCTGACTTGGTCCTGGGGAAGGTGAGCAAAGACTCTGATCGGTGCAGGATCACGAGGTCTCTGTTGTCTTTGCTGTTCATGTTAACGGTAATAAATGTACCAAACTGTGTGTGTGTGTGTGTGTGTGTGTGTGTGTGTGCGTCTCCAAGGTCTGGGATTTGGCAGACTCTGAACGTAAAGGTGCTCTTAACAAGCAGGTATAAATGCACCGCGGCGTCGCATCGTGATGGAATTGTTTGTTTTATGCGCATCAAGTGCATTTGATCGCTAGATTCATGTCTCATAATGCTCCTCTCTTCCCCTCAGCAATTCTTCATAGCGCTGCGGTTGGTGGCCTGTGCTCAAAATGGCCTGGAGGTGGCGCTCAGGAGCCTTATTGTGGCTGTTCCTCCGCCGAAATTTGTAAGTCTGCTGCTGTAAATAAATCATTTTATTTGAAATAGTACATTTTTTTTTTTTAACAGGAGATGAAGAATAACTCCGTTTTGTTTTTTTGTTTTTCTCCAGCATGACACAAGCAGCCCGCAGTTAGCAGGAGGAGTGGCTGTTGACACTTCCTGGGTTGTGAAGGTGAGGCTCTTGCAAGTTTATTATCTTTTTGTCTTAATGTTAGATCGTGATCTATGTTTCATCGTAATGTGCCTCGATATCCTTTTCTTGCTCACAAGAGAACCACAACAGAATATAGTGGTTGCAGAATATATAATGGTAAAGTATTGAATGCATTTATCACAGAGTCTGATCTTTTCTGTTGTGTTCATGTCAAATAAATCAAGTCTGCTCAATATGACACAGACATGTACAGCCGTAATAATTGTACATAAACATTAACTAGAAGTGACTATAACATATTAGGGGCATGATCAGTTTCACAGCTGATAAACCTGAATTCCTCTGTTGCTTGTTGAACTTCCTACGAATATGTTACTGTAGCTTTCTTCAAGAAACACCATTTATTTGTGTTTTTATGAAGGTCATTTTAATAAAACACAAATTAGTGTTATTTGAACAAAACAAATTAACCTTTAAAGTGATCAATACAATACATAATGTCATTTACTCACCTGGACCTAAGTGAAGAAAATTCATATGATGGGGAATTTAAGCAAACCCTCCCTGGAGAATGTATTTGTCATTTAATTAACTGTTAAACAAAACAGTACATCAGTGATTTTACAATGAATTAAACAAAGTGACAACTGAGCTTCATATTTGGAAGAAACGCATCCATATCCTTCCTCCTTGATCAAGTTTGAATTGTCTCTAACATTTTACATCTGTTTCGGGTTTTTCCCCCAGCCTGAGGAGAAGTTGAAGTTTGACGGCATCTTTGACAGTCTGGGTCCTGTAGGAGGGATTCTAACAGGAGACAAGGTCAAGCCTGTCCTGCTCAACTCCAAACTGCCAGTGGACATCCTCGGCAGGGTATGATCCCCAAACGGGACACTTTTACAATCGTTTAATCTATCGATACAGAGATTAGAAATAATAATCATGCAAAGTGACTAAACTAAAGAGAGAGAACTGCTTTTAAAAAAAGTAAATGGTTACCAATTTGCGCAGGTGGCTTTTAAAAACAAATCGACTAGCTAAAACATCATTTATAAAAACAAATGTCAGACAGACTGTGAGATTGTGTGTAAAAGTTGGGTAGAAAACAAATTCGGAGAGGAAGTGAGAAATCAGAAGCGTCTCGGGGCTTTCAGGGTCACGTGTGATTATGTATCAAGCAGTTTTGGAATGATGCATGCTCTACAATGACATCTGTGTTTGTGTGTGTTGAAGGTGTGGGAGCTCAGTGATATCGACAGAGATGGCATGTTGGACAGAGATGAATTTTCTGTGGTAAGAAATGAGCCGATGTCACAAATAGAAAGGAACCACACAGGTTATTGAAATGATATACTCTGTACTGCATCTAAATCACATCAAGCTTTTCTAGTCTTCACTATCTGAATGTTTTCGGAATAATTTTAAAGGTTTGTACACTTTTTATTCATCTGTATGCTTATATTCTACAGTACAATCTCCGAAAATCATTTCTCAATGGAACAAATAAGCCATGTGGAAGAAGTGCGAGGAAGCAATGACCAAATCACCAACTTTATTGGTAATTGTCTGTTATCATTGATTTTTGTTGCCCTTTCCAGGCCATGTATCTGGTGTACAGAGCCCTGGAGGGGGCGGCTGTTCCCATGTCCCTACCACCTCCCCTGGTTCCACCCTCCAAGAGGAAAAAACCCTCGGTGCCTCCCGTGATGCCCCTGTTACCCTCGCCCCCCTCCGTCAAAGACAGTCGCTCCTCCCACGCTGGCTCTAAGGCCGTGCCCCACCCCTCTAAACCTGCCCCCGCTCCTGTCCCGGCGCCAGCAGCTTCCCCCGTGAGTACGGTACGCGTCTCTCCTCTGCATGCACTGCCTGAAAAGCTTTTGTATGTATTTCATTTTTTTATTTCGTTGCAACAACAAACATTTAAAATGATTTCAAACTGGTTAACTCAGTGTGTTTTTCAAAAAAACAAGAAGAGTGGGAGTGTGAAGGTAAGTTCTGAGTTAGTGTTATGTGGTAAGTGTAGGTTGTATTCAATTCTATTACGAAGCAGCTATGGTGCTAGTTAAAAGTCTTTTTTTTAATGTTGTATTGCCGGTGCAGTGGGTGGTGTCGCCAGCAGACAAAGCAAAGTATGATGAGCTATTCGTCAAGACTGATGGGGACATGGACGGCCTCGTGTCTGGACCTGAAGTCAGGGAAATCTTCCTGAAAACCGGGCTGCCCTCTGCCTCACTGGCACGTATCTGGTAGGTAGAGACGGAAGAACTCCCTCCGGCAGCATATAAAGCCTAGTTCTGTTCAACACACTCACCTTCTAGATCTTTTTGTAGAGAGATTTCAGACCTTTGTGCTTGGTCTTTTTGAAATTGATCTTTATTCAATTATTTTTAGTCACATGTCCTGTCAATTTATATTTATATTAATAAAATTCACAAATTGCAGATTTTTGTTTTGGATGAGGTGAAAGGGACCTTTTTAATGGGGGGGAAAAAGAGGAAGAAAACTCCGGAAACGCAACAGAGTAGGGATCCTTCCTCATGCAAAAGATGTAATTTACAAAAAAGAAGAAGAAGAAAACAACAGTAATTCTACCCTACAGAGAATCTGAGTGCAAACATATGTGCAGAATAACACAGTTGCCAGAGTACATTTTATTGGCATTAGGCTGTAAAACCACACGTGCTGTTTCCATAATAAACGTAGAATAGAAAATTTTATTTAAAAAACTGATTGGAGTTGAAAACAGTCAATGTTGCCTGTGATTACTAATCTAATGACGGTGAACAAAGAATCCTCGTTGATATTGGTGCAGGAGGATAACAGCGCTGCAGTGCGTGCTGACACGTCGCATCATATGGATTTCTGTCTGATTAGCTTCTGTCCCGTTCAGACTGTCCCGTGTGTTGTCCTCCATCGGTCAGGCGATCACGAATAGTCGTTGCCTGAGGTGTAAACCGTTACTCTGTTATGTAACCCGTGTCTGTTTGTGTTCTCAGGGAGCTTTGTGACATCGGAGACATCGGGAAACTGACCCGAGAGCAGTTTGCCCTGGCGCTTCATCTAATCAATCAGAGGCTGACTAAAGGCCAGGAACCGCCGCAGAGTCTCTCCCCAGAGATGATCCCTCCGTCTGACAGACAAAACATCACACAGGTGAGTCACTTTGCGTGCTCAGAAGATCTCATCATCTTGCACTAAAGTTCTTAATTAAATGAGAATATACTCAATACTTTTTAGTTTTTCATCATTTTTTGCAGACGTTCTTCCTTCTTTCTCCTGTTTTTGTGTGTTTTAAGATTTTTTTTCTTCTGAACTTGCAGCTGTGTCTTTCTTTTCCAACTTGTACAACACATTTTTGCTTTTCCCTCTGTGTGTCCTGTCTTTACATTGCATCCTCTTCACACGTGCAGTGGGATGATGCTGAGTGAGTGTGTGTGGTAGTTTACTGACTCGGGGGCATCTCATTACTTTTATCAGGCTGCCTCTCTTTGGCATCTTTCCGCCTTGTCTCACTCATTTGTGTTTCTGTTACCGAAACTAAACCATATTTCACATCTGTATTACTCCCCGAGTTCATCATCATGTGCATAGATGCAAAGCTGAAAAGAGCAGGGGTTGATGTTTTAAGTATTTTGGGATGCAGCGACAGCAACACATCCGAATGTAATGTAGTATCCTACCAGTAGCATTACTCTTTAGTCAGTCTCGCTCCCATCCCGGCCCTTTTGTGTCTCCATCAGTGGCTTCATGTGTGGTCTTCAGTGTAGCTCTTTAGTTCATTTCCTCTCATGTCCAATTATCTAGGATTTTTCATCAACATAGTAGTCATTTTGCTGTTCTCTGGTGTAACAAAATGAGAAGTAACTCTTGGCGTTTCACCATCAGTCATGACTTTAATCCGCTTGTATCTTCGCTCCCTCTTCAGATCAACCTGGCTAACCTGTCGGCTGACTTCTCTGCCATCAAGGAGCTGGACTCTCTCAGCAACGAGATAGTCGAACTACAAAAGTAAGCTTTTGTTCTCATTTTCATCTAAAAGATGGTGAAAAGCCTTCTCACTGAAGCCGTAATGATGCAGGTTATGTAACAGGACGTAGCCTACAGATGGCCTGTACTTGTTTAGAGTTTGCACTAATTATTTTCCATCATCCTAAACAGAGGATACGCTGTTTTTAAATACAGGTTGTGACTGATATGCATCAAATATTATCAAAAAAAAAAGATAAATATTTAGCGTGATGAGGCCCAGCTGTGATAAATGTATTCTTGGGAAATGATTTTGGTAAATATCGTTTAATTTAATGTTTTTAGTATACTCTACTGACCAGCAGGAGGCAGAGTTTCCCACAAACCGAGGGAACTGGTTCAAGTAAAAAAGCTCTAGCTGCTGTTTGACAGTGAGGTGGAAGGAGACTTCATACATACACTATTTCTTCACTTGTAGCCAAAAAGAAATGTTAAATATTACAAAACAAGGTAAATAATGTTGCCTCATGTTATTTTTATGTTATGTATATAAATATGAGTGTTGTATTATTATTTTTGATCCACATCATGTTTAAAACCAAAAAAGTTTTGGTCTGATGGTTTATCAGTTTCAGCCTCCCTTTTGGTGAAAGCTGAGAGTGAGAAGTGAGAAAGTTGGCCTTCCACCCCACCCCCCAGCTTTCGATACACACACACATATATATATATATATATACACGCACACACTAGAGGACAGCTGTTGTAGGAACGAAGGAGAGGTGAGAGAAATGGATAGAAGTGGAAACTTGGTGAAGATCAGAGCTTCGGACAGACAGCAGATCGAGAGGAACTTGTCAACATGATTCATATCTGTGAGTGCTTCAAAATGTGGCAGCAGACTTCTGCTCAAGATGAGGAGGAGGAGGAGGAGGATGGTGATGATGAAGACAATGGGTAAGAGGAGAATAGGAATGATACTCGGCTTGAGTTAACGCTAGGTTTTTCAAGGGAATTGTGCATTTTGATGTGAGAGGAGAGGGAGAATATAAAAATAGCTGCTGATATTTTTAGTCTGTGTTGAAATGAAAGGCAGAAGATAAGTGGTTTCTCAGGTTGATGCCTGTTTTTGTTTTTTGTTCAGTCATCTAAATGTGAAACTGATCAAACTGAATGAGTGTTGTGTTCCGTATTGCTTTTACTCAACAGATGCACATAATGCATATTAAATGTTACCTTTTGCTTCGGATACTAATATTGTTTTCAGAGCTGAAACAATAACACTGGAGCAGCCTCCTTACATAAGTAGTTACAGGGAGTAGATCTAGATCTAGTAGAACAGTTAAATTAAAGTTTCGGTCAGGATAAATATTTATAACAAGCTTTTTAAATGTTCTCAGTTCTTTGCCTCTAATTTTGGCATCCATTCCTTTTTTTATACATTTGTTAAACATAAAACACTTTCAGTGTCGTTCTATTTACAATGTTGAAGTCTGAGATGAAAATATTAGATACGTATGTGAATGAAATCCAACACAATCCAATGTTTGATATCCAAATCTGGTGCAAAATGAACCCACATCTCTATGCTGAGGTTTCATTCATCTGAATAATTGCAGTTCTCTTCCGCGCATTATAATGATTTATATCGGTCTTGATTATTAATAAGGTTTAATGACGGCAGAGACAAATGGGATGAAATGTTAGCGTCTTATACGGTAGCGGCACCTTGACTGTAACACACCAAGTACAGTTTTTCTGGTGTGCCTTCTTATGGTTAGTAACAGAAAACAAAATGCACAGCTATTAATTGCCAGTTATACACGAGTCAATATGCCTCCCTTCTCCTCGCCCCACCCCGGTCCATTTCCTCTCTGGCTGGCTGGATGAAAAGAGTGAAGTAGAGAGGGTGAACACACGGGCAGTGAAAATGATAGATGTTGTAGGTTGGCTCATCATCACTCGTCCCTCCTCCCTTTCTTCTTCCTCCTCCCTCCGTCCTCGAGGCAGCCATCTGCCGCTCACTCTTCATCTCCCACACGTTTGACTGAGCAAGCACATTCTCACTTTCTACAACACCCTCACCACGCATACAGCGCCGTGCACACACACACACACTCTACCTTTCTTCACATCACACACACACACACACCTGCTGTAGCTGCAGACGTTCAGGCGTCTCTCTGTACGGTGAAGTTGTGATTTCAGGACACCATGGTGGTTCAGGGAGAGGTGGTGGTGGTTCAGGGGCAGGTTAAAGAAGGCTCAGTGGAGAACTGGATGGGGGGGCTGGGTGGGCTTGGACTACCGGGTCTTCCCACTCTGTCCTCGGTGGCTAAATACTCATGTCTGCTGTGCTGGACCCCCAGGGAGAAGAGCACTGTGGAAGAGGAGATCAAGGAGAAGGAGGAGGCCATCAGACAGCGCAGCGACGAAGTGCAGGTAAGGTCTCGCTCTCTCTGTTTGTCTGCGTGTTTGTTTCTGTTCTAACTACGGTGGCCACAAAGAGAAAAAATGATTTATGGGCATGACAAGGTCGTGTCGATTTATTAGGAGGAAGACTGCTTCTCCGCTCTGGTTTTCCTCTAATCGGTGCCTCTCAAAGGATTAGAGTTGGAACATAGCTGGTGTACGTGTACAAGCATGTTTGTATTTCTGCTGGATAAAAGACGGTGAGAGCCGGTAGGTGCCAAAGCAGTTGTTCACTTTTGCTGTGATGTAAATACCGGAGGAGGAGATCAATAATGCATTTGGCCCGGCAGACGTAGACGCTTGTTCAGAAACGCAGTGAATGTTTCTCAGAGAGGGAGAGGCTGGTGTCCTTGTGTACAGGCGTCTCTGCTCTGAGCCTGAGAGATGGGCTCTATTTTGGGAGCTGATGGCTTAAAGGGCTAGTCTGCTCCACTTGTGTGGAATTCAGTTGGAGTGCGAGGGCGGATCTCAAGGGAGTCTCACGGGGATGTAGCTGAACTTCGTAGCTGCACTGTAGGGCTGCCTCGAGTGCATTTGGCAATTTATACTGTATTGTGTTTTCTAAATATATCCTGGACTTCACATATTGTGTGCTTTTGGTTGTTGTGATCTGTCCTGCTTCCACTGCACAGACTCTATATTATGACTTCCCCTGCAGTGTCTCTCCGAGGTGGAGAATGTGTTTGTGGCGGTCTCGCACAGTGGCGGGGATCTCTGACCTCCATCACTTGAATAAAGGCATTGGTTTCACCCGTAATGAACTAGTGATTCAGACGCATTCTATAGTTGGTGATAAATCCCTGATTTGAGTCCAGCCAGAGAGCTTTGTTGCATCTTATTCTCCCTCTCCACGCCGTCTCTCTCCCAGTTTTCAGAAGCTTCTCTGGACTATTTTGTCTTCCATCTAAAGACACAGATCCACCTATACTTACACAAATGTGCCAAGTCACACTGACTGTGATGTGGACGTGTAATGCCAAGTCATTATGCAACCTTCAAATTAGAAAACAAACAAAACCGGCCCAAGAGGATGTTAACTCTTGTTTCCATCCTGTATACTGACTCACATGTAGCGATGATGTAACCTGCCAAACTGTTTTAGTTCACATATCGGACTGGTTTGTGTCTGTTGTCTGGAAGTATGGTTGTTTTGAGCTGTTTTGCGTGCCTCAGTGTCTGCCGTAATGTAAATAACACCATATTTAAAATGTACATGTTGGTTGTTCTCTTATCCCTCCGCATTCTGAGGACCTGGAAAATTGACGAGTCCCCTGTTTTTCCTTTCCGTAATTATCCAAATATTAAATAATCGGGGTCATGAAAGTCGGTCTCCTCTTTGGCTTGATGTCTGCAGGACTTACAGGTGGGGGTGGCGAGGGAGAGCGAGGAGCTGCAGCGGCTCCAGGCTCAGCGCCAGAAGGTCCAGGACGCCTTGGACGAGCTGGACCAACAGAAAGGCTCCCTGGAGGAGCAGCTGACTTTTATTCGCCAGCAGACCAACCAAGAAACCCATCTGGTAGGTCTAGAAGAACTTTAAACAAAGCTACGTAACAACCACGAGCAAAGCACATCAGTTGTATAAATATAATAACGCATTCCAGTCCATGACTCCAGCTTACTCATAATGGTAACGTCCGTCACAGATTTCATCGCTGCAGTCGGAGCACGAGGACCAGGAACAGAAGATATGTCAGTTTGAGGAGGAGCTGGTCCAGGCCCGAGAGGAGCTCCTCGCTCTGCAGGAGGAGAGCAGGAAGCTGCAGGAGAAGGTCCAGGCGGCTCAGGAGCAGCTCACACCTCTGCAGGAGTCTGTCCGCGACTCCTTTACACAAGTTGCACAGGTCGGTTTGTGCGAATCTATGAATCCCCTTTTCTCCGCAGAAAGTGGGACCTCTGTTTTATTTGTTTTCTCTTTCTCCGTGTTATTCTTTGAACCTCTGTGCTCTCTTAGGTTCAGCAGAAACTGAACAACCTTCAGGTGGAGGAGAGGTCAGTAACTGCCCAGCTTAGCTGGAAAAGAGCCCTGGAGGACAGCTCCCCTGTCATGGTCAACGGATCAACCGGCTTCACTGCAGAGCTGCGCCAGGGGGATCCCTTCCAGCAGGACCTCTTCCGGGAGGACCAGCCTAAAGAGCTGAAGGAGGAAGATCCATCAGCTGCCAATCAGCAGAAAGAACAGTCGGATCAGAAAGAGAAAAAAGAAGTGAAAGAGAGAGAAGAAGAAGAGAAGGAGGCAGAGAGTCCAAAGACTCCAGACGAGGAAACGTTTAAATATGATCCCTTGGATGATCTCTATACTAGTCTAGCCTCCTCTGAGATGTACAATAACCGATCGACCCTCGCCAAGCCACAGGAGAACACGGCGAGGGTAATAAATACACTTGCTTTAGTTATCAGTACTTTCTTATAGATGGAAAGAATCCAGTACAACGCCTACCTATCAGGTTTTTCTTTTCTATTACAAAAAGCTAGGACCTTCTCTTCTTTCTTTTCTTTCGCACCCACCAAACATACAAGACCAGCCAACTGAAATTCAGTAACACTAGTCATTGCTGTGTTGTCCTCTAATGTCTCCAGGAACACAGTAGCCCTACACCCGATGACTCCCCGGAGCTCATGAATGATGCAGAGGAACTGCCCAAAGAGAGCTCACTAAAGGTAAGGGCCCTGAGTCACTCAGGTATAATTCATTCATTTAGCCAAGGGAGTCTTCTCACACCGCAGATCCTCATTTAACACGTGTATCTCTAGGGTTTTCAGGGATTCATTAATCATGTGTAGTGTAAACACGACGTTCACATCGATTACTGTCGTGGTCAAGCTTGTCAGCAGAGCCCTGTCGCTGTTCAACAGGTTGCGTCGCCAGAGCCAGAGAGCGAACAGGAGCCAGCAGAGTCCCCGGAAACCTCCACCAACTCGTTACCGCCTCAAGTCGGCCCTCGCTCTATGCCGCCTCAGACCAGCCCGCCCTCTCTGCCCGAGATGGACTTCTTCCATTCGGACCCCTTTACTGACCGTGAGTCCCAACAAACGTCTTAAGTTTAGTTAATAGTGATTTGTTTTCCAGATTTAATTGTATTTATTGTAGATTAGTTTTGGGTACTTGAGGTTAACTCTTTTTATAAATGATTAAATGTTGTACCAGAGCCTCAATGTACTCAGAGTGATGATATTTTTTAACCTTTTATAGACGATCCATTCAACGATGATCCATTTGGAAAAGCAGATGTTGCAGGTAAGTTCTCTATTTGAAAGTGATTAACAGGCAAACTAATCCATTTCATCAGAATCGGATCAGAACTCGGTCACCAAGCCTACAATATCAAATGTTCACACTTTGTATCTGTTTCTGTTGAATCAGATCCATTTGGTGGAGATCCGTTCAAAGGGTCCGACCCCTTTGCTGCAGACTCTTTCTTCCAGGCCCCCAGCGCCCCCTTTGCCTCCGACGACCCATTCACTGCCAGCTCAGCGGATCTGTTTGCTACCACTGCCGGTGTCCCAGAACCAGACCTGTTTGCAGCCAAGCCGAGTGACGTAGCAGCTGGACCGGCAGCGGGTCCAGATCCCTTCACCTCCAAACCTACTGATCCAACTGTAGCAGCCAAGGATCCATTCAGCACCACGGGGAACAATATGGCCAACGCCGACCCGTTTGGTGGCAAAATGAATGCCCCCGGGGAGGCGGATCCATTTGGTGCTCAGGACGGAGGGGCCGATCCCTTCAGCGGCTCTCTACCCTCCTCTGATCTAGCCGTGGTGAGTAGGCCTGCTGTACAACCGGGTCCCAATGTACTCATGATAACAGGAATAAGACCATTAAATATCAATCATGGATGTTTTTTGATGCTTTTAAAGGTTTGTTTGAATCAGTAATCTTTGTAAACAAGGCAGTCAACACAAATGTTCATATAGTGTACTACTAGTATTGTGTTAGTATACAGTGTTGTTTAATTATTATATCTGTGTTTGTATTGTTTATGCTGGCATGTCTCCCGAATCTAAAGAGTTATCGAAAGGAACTGTTTGAACGTGGTTTTAACAAATTAGTTAGATTCTGTGTTACAAGTCAGTCAAGAACAAATAAATGATAATTCATGAAAATCAACGTCTGGATAAAAGTGATGAATGCAATCAGCAGTTGTTTATATTTGTATGATGTTCATCACTTTATCGTTCTAGTTAAATCAAGTTTAAGGATATTCACATCCACAGCAGAGTTTACTCTACAATAAGTACTGTATGTTCTGTTTTTAGAAGGACGCTGCAGCATCCAACGACCCGTTTGCTCCAGGTGGTACGACAGTAAACGCCAGCTCAGATCCAGGTATGACTCGTGTTGTAGCGCCGCCCTGAGGGGACAAAGGCCACTGCAGCTGTTGAAATGATAAGATGCACTAATAAATGTGTCTGTATGAGTGTTGCCAGTTTGATATGCTCAGTGCCTCTTTATATGCTGGTGTGTTTCAGATCCGTTTGCGGCGGTGTTCGGGAGTGAATCGTTTGGAGGAGGCTTCACAGATTTCAGTGCTTTGACAAAGGTAATCAAGAGGTGTTGTTCCTGACCTGTGCTTAACATACACGGAGCTGACGAAACACTCGGTAGTGAAACACACTGAATATAATTTAGTTAAGTCGGTGGAAGTAGTAATTGTTGCGACACAGTGAACTCTCTTCTACTGTCAAGCTATGAACATCCAGGGAGGCTGTGAGTGAGTTGTTGAGTGTGTTGTGGTTTCTTTGGGAGGAAATAGCTGAACACTTGCACGTGATTCTTCCCTGTGGAGGAATTGGACACTAAATCATCATTCAGTACATACAACAAGCAGCAATATCCAAGAGGCAACCTCAGGGGCTGAACAATGAAGCCAACGTGGAAGTGCCAAACACTGCAGTCGCTCAATTGGCCACTTGAGCCTGAGGCTTGAGTCACTGCCAACATGGCGAGGGCCCGCGGCCACCCACTTTGGAGAGACCTATGTATGGGTGCTGTCACACAGAGACTACGTCTATATTTTATACAGACTATGTCAATATCATGAATTAATATGCATAGCATTGCAAATATGCATAGATTCTGTGTGGCACCCTGAATAAAATCCTCACCAATCGCAAATGAATATGCCGCGGTGATTCCGGCTCTGATCTATTGTGGCGACTCCCTGTGTCATCCCTTCTGTTTGTACTGGACCAAATACTCTACTCTAATCCTGTATGTATTTGTTTTGGTGTGAACCTTATGTTGCAGTCAAACGGTGCAGCCCAGTTTGGCATCAACAATAAGAACCTGTTCCAGGAAGACGGCCAGTCTGCCGGCCCTGATGTGCCCCCAGCCCTTCCCCCAAAAACGGGTACGCCAACCAGACCACCTCCTCCCCCTCCAGGTCAGTGCTCGCTATGAAAAGGTAACTGTGCCGTGGTGCTCTTAGCGGTCCGTTCAACATGTATTTATTAACACTTGTGTCCGCCTGTCTGTGCCTCAGGTAAAAGATCGACCATCTCCAGGACAGAGTCGTCCGACTCCTTCCAGCGACGAGGGCCCTTCCTCCAACAGCCTTCGGGAGAGCTCCCCTCCTCTTCCCTGCCTGCTAAGGATCCTTTAGCCGACCCCTTCGCCCCTTCCTCCCCTCCTCGTCACAACGCACGGGAAGCTGACCGATTTGCCAGCTTTGACAAAGTGAGCACCTCGCCCTCTCCCTCACCTTCACCTGACTCTGACTAGTCACTGCCCTCTTCTCTTGTTTTTTTCTCCTGCTAATAATTAATAAAGTCACAACCACCAAACAAATCAGGCCAGCTTATACATCACTCCATCCACTGCCGTTAAGTCCCAAAGAAGTGAAGTAATCAGCTCATATAAACAGTCACATGCTATTTGATAACCTCGTTTTCTTGAGCTAAGCTAACAAAATAATTAAGTTATTTTTCCTGCGTTCTGTCTGCTGCTGGTGTATATTTTAGCTCTTTATTATGAATGCAATATTTTTTTTTGCCAGTTGAAGATTCTTTATACTTGTAATTATTTTTTGTTACTGATTTATATTGGGATTGCACTTAATTTATGCCCCATGATTGAAGTTGTCTTACTTTATGAGGAAATGTACAGAAATGTCGTCATAGCAATTATAGATGCACTGATAAATTACCTCTGCAACATATTTGTTGTAACGGACACAAGTTGCGTTACAAATGAGTTGACGCTACACATCCGTCTTTGTGAAACCAAGTCCCTCTTTATGTTGGCAGTGAATGGAGAGATCAGAGGCTGCTTGTATTTGCCATCCCAACTAAGCACACTGACGATACAGCCTGTGCATATGCACGTTCCATTCAGAAATAAAAAATACATTTTACTGCAAAACATTTCATTAAATGCACCTTTTTACACTGAAGTTGCTTTTTAGGTGCGTTTCTAATTGCCATTGGTGCAAAGTGCCTATTTTGAGTCCGACCCAGCGACTGGGCTCAGAGTCCCAATGTTTCTGAGTCGACACACTTGTGGCATAAAGGCATTACATCAAGTGACCATGACTAACTAGGTGCAGAGTAGTGCCTGCTGCACGTTTAGTGAGATCCCGTTTCAGACAGGTTTGACCTAAAAACCTAGAGGTTCATGAAGTGCCATCGTTGTTACAAACTCATAGCGTCTCCCGTCACATGACCGCACCTGCATGTCCCTGTTGTTGAACCCTGACCTGCACGCTAACTGTGTGTTGGGCTCTCATTCACTCATACTCACTGCCTCTCCCATCCCTCATATAGCGTTTCTTTTTCCCCCCCTCTACACCTGCCGCTATTTATTTATCCATGCATCTGTCCATCCCACCACCCCTTCACTTATCAGTTCAATTCAGCCCTTGTCTGGTCAGCAGTGTGCTGTGGAGAAACAGATCGCCTGTATTCTCTCTGTCTGTGTGTCTTTACACCTCTGTCAAGAACGTTGAATAAAGAGTTGAATCAAGGGCACCATCTCTGGCTTCTATGTGCATCCATGATATTATTATCTGCAAATGCCTGAGCTTTTAAAGGACCATACCAACATGTTTTGCATCTTCAGTTCATTTAGTTGCGACTATACTTTGACATTTTAACGCTGACATTTTCCAAAGCATGCTTTGAATTTAAGTTTATTTAAATTTCCTGCTTTTCAAGCAGCCTGCTTTTGTTTGTCAGTTCTGTCGTTAGACTGCTTATTAATCTTGGTAGTTTTATCTCAAGCGTGTTTTATGTCTTTGTAAGTTCATATTAATATATTTTGTTGTTATAGTGGCCTCATGGAAAGCAGAAAAAAATACAATACATCCAATAATCTACAGAGTGGCATGCTTTGGTAAATGTTTGTACTGAATGGGATGAAACATGCAAAAGCACCAGTATGGTCCTCACGAGCACTTTGACAGAAATCTCACTAAATCACGTCAATAACTGAAAGTAAAGACAAAAGTACTTCATGTCTGATTTCATTCATATTTAAAAGCAGAGGTGGGATGTACCAGCTACACGTAATAAATGCACGTTCACTACTAAATCCGTGAGCTGTTTCTTAAATGTTCTCATCATGCATGTTCTGCGTCACTCTAAAACATCGTCGTCGCTGCCTACTTTCGTTTGCATGGGTGGATACGCACCGGATGCTTCTGTCTGTCATTCATTGAGAACGATGAACCTTGTTGGCACAGTGCACGTCCGATCTGTAATGATTAACCAGCGTTCTGTGTGTTTAAAAGTTCTCTTCCTTTCGCCCTTTTGTCGTTTGTGATCCTACACAATAGATTTTGGTCACATGTCTCGTGTTTATTCATCAGCAGAGATCCCAGCTTTCACACTTTCATCTCATTTCAGTCTCTGATTTCATGCCTCCACAACATGTGTGATGACGACAAAGACTCACTCTGTTCACTTGCGACATTTTGGATTTACAGATCGCTCACTGACGCAGATGAATGTGAATTAACTGCAAATTAATCTTGGGTACACATGTGCTTCTTCTGCAATTAACATTTCAAAATGTCCACTTTGAGAAAGGTCAGTGGGTTCCTGATAAATGTCCGTTCAGACATTGAGAGATCTGACTCTACTTCTCCCTCATTAGAAACATTATCAGCACCGAGCCAGGAAGTGCTCATTAAGAACCGGGCAGCACAAACAACCTTTCATTTCAAATGTTTGAGTCACATTTACCTTTCTAACAAATATTGCGCCTCCTGCGACTTGAACATTGTAGTAGCCCATGATGCGATTTTGATCAAATTATGATTAATTGTGCAGCCTCACCGCATTACAGTTATGGACACCTTCCCTGTGACCCACTGCATCATCACACTATTATCGGCCAGTTGTGTGCGTGTGTCACAGTGGCCCAGAGGCTGAGATACGTACCATGTAAACTGACACATCGCCGGTTCGATTCCAGCCAGGGACCTTTGTATCGTGTCCATTTACGTAATATTCCTCACAGAACTGCCTCAAATACCAATAATAATCAAATTTAAGAGATTCTTATAGAAAATGTGTGTATGTTACAAGTTAAGTCAAAAAGAAAACTAATATACAACAATTTTTGTATCTGATATATTGATATTGGCCCTTTAAAAAAATGTTGCCAAAAAATCCCTCTGTGATATTATTCCTCTAATCATGATTACATGCTACATAATAAATCCTTGATGGATGTTAAGGGCCAGACACGGTTCCATTATGAAGCTTATAATGCGTAAAGATCATAGCATGCATTATAATAATGCAGCTATTGTTGGTTATCAATCAGGTGGCTGTAAGAATACGTTTGTTAATATATCTTTGAGAATCTGTTAACTGTATACGTGTTTGTCTCCCCCCCCCCCCCCCCCAATATTTCTTTGCATATGTGTGTTTTCTCCTTCCCGTGTGTGTACGTGTGTGTACGTGTGTGTACGCTTTCTGTGTTTATGAAGCAGTATCCGACAGAGGAAGACATGATAGAGTGGGCAAAGCGCGAGAGCGAGCGAGAGGAAAAGGAGCGACTTGCCAGGCTCACCCAGCAGGAACAAGAGGACCTGGAGCTGGCCATCGCACTCAGCAAGTCTGAACTCTCCTGAGGACCTTGTCTCACCCCTCCCCCTCCCCTTCCCTTCCCCCTCCCCTCGTCCACTGACCTGGCTCGGCACAGCACAGCCTGGCCCAGCCCAGAAAGCACCAAAGCAAAGTGGGGACTGTACAGGACTGATTCAGCAGCACCTGCTGACCCCATGAAGAGACTTTCTTAGAACAAACTCATCTCTGAATCTTCTTCCTTCTCCCCAGACTGTGTTCACCGTTCACTGGCAATGCAGTATTCATTTTATTTTTGTTTGTTTCCATCCCGTTGGTCTTGTTTTGGAGGAGAGGACCAGGATGGAGTGTATGTTCTGAAGAATGGATTGTTGAAAAATGAAATGCAGTGAATGTGGATCTAGAGATTGCTCCGTTGATTCCAACATCGTGCTACAAATGTCGCATTAACTCTCCAGAATGTAATTTATTTAATGCACTCAAAACTTGATTGAAATGGCCATGTCAAAAAGTCCTGTCTTCATCCACCAACAGTACTCGCTACACTTTCTTAAAACTCGGCTCACTCTAGCTTCTGAAGTTATTTTGAGAATTTCACAGGATGTCTTTAATTAGAAACAGTCTTGCTCATTTTGTTGAGCCCAAAAAATCCCCCTAATTTTTTTTTTAACTGAGTATTTTGAAGACGGTAGGGTGAGGAGAAAAAAACGTGTTTTTTGAGGCACTAACAATATTAAAGTGCAAGTCGGTCTTTTTTGAATGGAGTGACCATGTACTTATATAGTTATATAGTATGATAGCAGAAGGCCGATGAGATTTTCCTTCAAGAAATACTTGTTCAGGACAAGGTTTCAACATTTCTACTTGTTCAACTGGAAGTAACCAGTCCTCTGATATGTGAAACGCATGTGTAGATTTATACAAAAACTTAACAAATCCATCACATGCTATACCACGTTCAGCTTCTTGATACTTTAATTTCTTTTACGTTTCTGTAATGCGTTGCTCTGCGCAGCATCTCTCTGTCAATTAATTTTTTTTGGGAGATACTGAAAGGAATGAAACTACAACTATTTCATGATTTCATATTAATTAGCATTAAAAATTCAGGGCACACTACAAGGGATTGCACAAAACGATAACGCGACTGATTTGTTTTTGAGAGAGTCCAACACCAAATACTTAGTATCTTTTAATTAGTATGAATCTTTGTATTAATGTCTTTATTATTGACACTAACAGACACACTTTAAAAATAGAAACTGGGTTGTCATGAAGCAGATGTCAGCCCACTTTACCTGCTCTGTAGTCGTACATTAAATGAATAGTGTTAATAGTGTTGTTCATCCTCACTGATCAAGCAGTCTCCCTAAAGCAGACACTTCTAATGAGACGTGTGTTGAAAAAGATCAACTTCCACCAGTCGTTCACAAATTTCACACCAGGTCCCATTTTGAAGTGAGCCACTGTTGGTGCGTCTTTTGTTGTCGTTTGTTTGACCTTTTTAATATTTCCAGATGCTTCCTCTCTGAGAGACTAACTGGATTACACGTCAGTCAGTAGAAGTTGATTAGCATCCCTGCGTTTTGGTGAAGCCGTTTGTCTTCCACAGCAACACACCAGTAAACACCCACAGAGCAGTTGATCGGCCAGGGATTCTGGGTAATGTTGTGTTTTCTCCCAGAAAATGAGTTTCTTAACACTGAGTGCTAAACTGTGATAGTTTCCTAAAAAGTGAAGGCTCGGTTGTACAGCAGGAGGCTTTCGTTTTCATTTCTGACCAAACTTCTTCCTGCTCCGACTTATTTTGTCTCCTTTTTTGTCTGTGAAAAATGAGCGTTGTCATCGTTTCCTCTTCTCATGTCTAACTAGTAAACACCCACAGAGCAGTGGGTGTCTGTGGTTGAAGCTGCACTTCCTACTTACAGTTCACGTTTATTATAAATTCAATACAGCAGTCGTCTGTCTGTCATACAGTTTAATTCCACTGACACGTTACTGTCATTTGTACAGACTCAAGAACCACTTATGTTTTTCTCGGCTTACCCATAAAGGCTTTTTAAAACGCAAAGCTAATTGTATTTTTATTTTGTATTTTCTAACACGTAGAGAGAGAAAAATCATTGTTTGGCCAGAATATGTAATGCATTTAATTGAAACAGAATAAATATTAAACATGTGTAGTTTTGCAGTTTGTTTGTTCTTACTGGGATCAAGTCATGTCTTTAACAGCCAGCGGTGGAAGACGTTTTAGTTCATTTACTTATGTTAAAAACCTCCTTAACAAGAGAAAGTCCTGCATTCAAATGTTTAGTTGAGTAAAAGCAGTGGTGCAAAGTAACAAACATTGACTTGTACTGTAGCGTAACAGATTACATTATATTTCAGTTATATGCTACTTTATACTTCACTACATTTCAGATGAGAATACTGTACTTTTCACTATACAAAACATCTGAAACACATAATTTGCTGATCAAATAGGATGCACCGTTATAGATTAAACTAGCCAACTATACACAAATTTACAAAAATGAGCTCCACCTTAACCGACAAAATTTAAATAATGCTTATAAGTAATAATGTCTCAGTATTAATCATCCAATAACACATGAGAATGTAGCAGTCTCATGTGTCAGTACATTCTGCTGATAAAACAGGTACTTCTGCTTTTACTTAAGATTCTTGATGCAGTATTTTTCCTGGTATTTTACATTGTTTTATTTGTACTTTTACAAAACTAAAGAATACAGAAATATTATCAACTAACTATACTTGTTAATGTATTATATTTATGAATTATTATGCATTTGTGTTTTGGTGGTATTCATGTTGCTGGCCTATGTGGCGTCAACCACAACTACTTTACACACCTGCTGCTTCCTAGCTCAATCTATTGCAACTCATCTTGTTTTATACTAAACTCAAGTTAGGAAGCTGAGGTTTTTTTACATCTTGATCTGCTACGTAATTAGTTTTAGTGGAGTAATGTAGTGGAAACAGGAAAGTACTTCAAATGTGTACTTCACCACAGCACTTTAGTCAATGTACATATATGCAATTAGAACCACCAGCATGCAATCATATAAATGTCTGCAGAGTTGTATGTTTTCATGCAAAAGAATGCAGCATTAAAAGTTACCACAAATAAAGCCCGTTTCATAATAACGCACATACTATCATGACCATCCTTTGTTGATATTTAAAAAAAAAAAAAAAAGTCTATTTATAAGGCTTATGATGAGTAACTTTGAATTGCATATTTTTGGGGGCTTTATTTATAATAACGTGCTTTATATATTTAGCTGCACGTGTTTGTTTTTGAGCATATTTTTAAAAACTCACAGTGCGTAACTGCGCGTGTAATCTGGACGGCTTTAGGACCATGAAGCCCGGACCTGCAGCAGCTACATCGCGGTGCACTTTAATAGGAAAGACTTTATTGTGGCGATGACAGCAGTAACACACCTTTCCACGTCAGGAAGGAGGAAGACGCACAGCAGCTGCCGTCATTTGTGTACTCAGCGGGATCTGCTCCTCTCTTCTCCCCCGTCTGTCTGTCCATCCATGCCCGCTGTGTAAACCTGCTCGGTCCCGGTATATCCTGCTCTTTCACCGGACCTCAGAGCTGCGGGATGAGTTTTATTACCAACTGGAGACGCAGCGTGAAGAAAAATAAGTGAGTAGAAGGGGAAAGCTTCCGAGAATTTGTGCAAGTCCTCACCCTGTCGGTACATGTCTGTTTTCTAAGTGCGGAAGAATTTAATCGCACTTACTTTAACTTTCATCTGAGATTGTTGTGTAATACACAACATGTTCAGGGCCCCTCATTGATCCTCTTCAGATCACACACACACACACACACACACACACACACACACACACACACTCACACTCTCTCTCTCTCTCTTCTGTGATGTGATCTGTGAAGTTAAGTCCTGTGTTTAGGAAAGTAAAAACCTGCCACTGTTAATCATTCAGAAAGAACAAATAAAAAGTTGCCCAACATCTAATAAATTCATAGAAAAGTGAGTCTGACCACTGTGAGTCAAAAGGGGGAATACTGTCGATACTGTACTGTCTTTGTTTGGTATCATGATCCATCGACTGCTGTCATTACGTGTTTGTCATCTACGCTGCTGTCTGCATCCTGTTAGACAACATTACATTCTGTGGTCAGGCAGGCTCAAAAGTGGCGATTTCAGAGGTCGCAAGGTGAAAATAACTGAATTCTTCAACAGTAAGTTAGACAACCTTTTGACTTTTCCTAATCTTTGCTTCTTTTTTTTCTTGCTGTATAGTTTTGCCTCTTCCAAACTTTGTCTAAACATTTTGTACTTAAAAATGAGAAATACAGAACAAAATATGAGGAATAAACCGCTTCAATACATTGAGTCTAGTGTTACTGTGGACACATTTTGTGTCTTTTTATTCATCACATACTGTGTAGCTTCCTTACATTATGCTGGTAACAATTTACATTTAAACCGTCTGTACCAAACTCCTAAGTCCTCCTCGGGTCTTCAGATGGGACTTCCAGTGTCCTCGCACACCTCCTCCTCTCACCATGATGAGATCCATTCTTACGTTCTCTCTAAATTCACCTCTGACCTCTTCACAGGGATGACGGTCAGGCACAGGACAACCACGACGGCCCGGACTCCTCAAACCAGTATGTTCACACTGTGTGCACAGATTATTATTTATCATTAGTAACAAAACAACAAACCCTGTGAGCTCACAGTGCTAATAAAACACTTATTAACAGTGGAATGACACATAGACTGACTTGTATTTTTTTCCCCAGGTTGTCCATAATAAACAGTCCACAAATGGATCCCGTCATCCCAGACTTCAGGTGCGTGTCTTTATATTGAAAACCAATCTGATAAAAGAACAGTGTGGGTTGAAGTTTAAAGTTTTAGTGTCTTTATTTTAAAGTAACTGTTTTGCATCTTTCCATGAAACTTGATGTGTTCCCCAAAGTTTTCCCAGAATCTTCCCACATCAGACCGATTTCACAGACATTCTCCCCAAAACTGTTAATATCAACAGAAACGTTCCCAACGAGTAGAAATAAGTAGCCTGGGAGTGTCCACCTGTATCGCTGTCCCTGTTTCTGTGGCTCTCGCGATCATGTTGCTCAAACAATAGCCGGCCTTTCATCCCATGAGATTTCCCTCTTTTCTCGAAACAGACTCGATTTTGTTCCTCTGTTTCAGGTTACGGCTTTCGGACGACAAAGATGCTCTGCAATCAACAAATCCATCAAATGGGCAAGTGAACTTGTCATAAAGCAAGATTTAGATAGCGACACAAAGGGAAGACATGCTCTGAGAAACCTGCTGCTGTCCCGCTATTTGCAAAAAAACATCGTAATCTATTTTCTTTACTCTTTTGCAATCGAGAGTGAGCTGCTGTGAACCAAACGCACATTACTGCTGACTCAAAGGACCTCTTGACATATTAGTCACGTGTTCGACATATAAGTAATTGAGACGGAGAGAACCTGAGCATCATCTCTCAGCTGTCTCTCTCTCTCTCTCACCTTATGACTAGAGGAAGGTGAATTAGTTATTTAATCCTACGTTCTCTGTCAAGGCACGTGAAGAAGCCTGAGGGGGAGGATAGCTGTTTGGATCCGAGGGAGGGAACTAAAGGAAAAGGAGCACGATCAGCACAATTATTTTTATATATTCAACAAAATCCAGGTAAAAGGTGCTAAATGTAGCACTTTAACGTTACATGTTCATTTTTAGTTCATTAGAAAATATTATTTTGTTATTTAAACCAATAGTTGGACATTTTGGGGAATTATCTTATTGGCTTTCTTGCTGAGAGCTAGATTAAAGGTGCTATATTCGATATTCAGAGCATTAATACCTACACCGACAATGAAGTCACTCTCCCACTGTGTGTGTTGTTTCTTTGTTGACATAGCCGGGCCGTCTGCGCATGCTTTTAGTGCACGTGAGTGTGCCACGATGACCGATGCACTGCACTCATACGTGGGTTATAGCTGACCCACGGGGTCGTCACAGAAGCGTAGCGCCCCCCCCCTCCGGTTCCCCCTCAGGTTAAAATAGTTAACTCTGCCCGCACTTTTGCACATTGGCGCTGTTAGCACTGTTAGCTGCAAGCCGCCAGCTCAGCCGTCACCATATTGAGAACCATTTAGAGGCAAGAGAAATGATCCTAAAGTTGTATATATCATCTTTAATACATGTCTTAATTCAGTATTTGATGAAGATACTTTCAATTAAAAATGTTATCTCATTGGAAGAAATATGTTATCAATGGTCATTACAACACTGTTGTACCGATGCAAACGTTAATAACAACACATGTTTAGTGTGATTTATTACCGTGTGGTGCATAACAGCAGGATAGGTTTGAATATTATTACATTAAGCCCAAAAAAAAGGCTAAATTGTTTGAAGCGGCCACATTTCCGGAGTCATAATCCTTGTTTTTACGATCCAATTCTCCACCATGACGACAGCAGCGATTCAAATCTAATTATCTCCACCTTTAACCCGTGACCGCCTGTGCTCCTCACAGCACACACATGAGAGCGATGGAAGTCACAATTAAGCTTCTTTTATACAGTCTTTAAAGACCGATGAATTTTCCTTCATGTTTCTGTGCTTTGCAGTCACATGAGCGTGATCTGTATGCTGTCTGGATGTTAACAGGGTCACTAATACGTGTGCTGTAAAGCCATGCTACTATACATCGCATGTTTTCCTCTGAATCCATGGAGAGGAATGATATATTCTATGAATCAGCCGAGGATTTCAGGTTTTGGATTTATATCGTCTTGCAAGCATCTACCAGTTTAGAACAGAATTAATGAGATGATACATAAATTAGTCAGTTGACAGAAAATGTATTGTCATCAACTTATCATTTATGTCATTTTCCCAAGCAAAAATACCAAACATGTCCTTGTTTTAGCTTCTCTAATGTGAGAATGCGCTGCTTTTCTTTGTTTCCTGTGAATGTAAACGTGAATATATTTAGTTTTTGGACTGTTAGTTAGACAAAAGAAACAATTTGAAGACATCACCTCTGGCTTTACAGGCATTTATTTGTTTTACTATTTTCTGACATTTTGTAGACCAAAGAAAGGGAGTCATTGAGAAAATAACTGTCAGTTGAGACACTAATGCAGTTACCAGACTGAAGCGAATAAACAAACATTCTCATTAAAAGAGTAAAAGCTATGAAAATATATGAAAATAGTCTAGAATTTGAAAACCCTTTAACAAAGTGTAAATTTACAAATCACTTGCATTGCCCAAAACAAGACTCAAATGGGCTGATTGAACACATTTGTTCAAACCAATGTATTTATTCCTGTTCGCCACTTTTCCAAAGCATTGATGATCTTAGCACTTTTCTGACATTAGATCATAGAGCTTTTTCACAGCAGACATTTTGATTTGTCATAACCGGAAACACACAGGTGTAATTAATTAATGCCTTTCACGAGAACAGTGGCAGAGCTTTGAAAAAATGAAGCTAAATGGAGTGTAACCCTATTAAAATATCAATCACGCCTGGGATTTCCACGCTATGTCTTGCCAAAATTAATTTTAAAAAAGGGCCCATTAGTCAAACGCTCGCACACATCTAAAGATAAAGAGGTGAGCTGCAGTTTCTGGGGATCAGACACCCTAAGTCTTAGCGCTGTGCCAATCTTTCATTCATGATTTCACAATAGGTCATGTGCGTCCACAGTACTGCCTCTATGTCTTCTATTTCTGGACTCTGTGGTCACTGCAGTGTTTAGTCTCTGCCACTGCAGCAGACTGGACCGGCTGAGAGTCTCACTACGCACCAGCACTCCCTTCTGCTGTCTTTTAAACCTCACGCTTCCTCTTTTAAAGTTTTGTGTCGGGGATGAATGAATTACTTGTAACTTAGATTCTTCTTTTAGTTGTCACTCCGTCCTTCTTGATTCTTCTTCCTTTTGTTGTTTCACATCTTGTTTAAAAATCTTTAGGCCATGAATCGAGGGCCTTTAGCCCCGCCTCCGATTTTGCAATAACCAATCGGAGCAGAGACTGCAGTGTGTAGCATGAGGGTGATGATCGGAAGAGTAGGGACAGACCTTTTGTATGTTATCGTGTGTGTGTGTGTGTGTGTTAGAGGCAGCACAGATACACTGTGTCTTCTACACTCATGTGTATGGTCATCCCAATCTGATTAAGATCTGCTGTTGATGCTGCATCCTCCTTCTTCCTCCTCCTCCTCCTTCTCCTCTCTATCTCCCTCCTTCATTCTTCCCTCTCACTCTCTCTCTCTCTCTCTCTCTCTCTCTCTCTCTCTCTCTCTCTCTC